TTTCCTGGTGCAAAGAAGCCTTTAATCATGCAAAGGGTTCTTTAAGCGTTCATGGTTCTACACAGAACCATTTTCTTTTCTAAAAGAACGCTTTTAAGTGTGTATCTATACATTTCACTGCTGGTAGCATTTTTGATAAGCTGATTTAACCTGTCAATATCCTACACTCGGTTCTTCAAGGGCTCTTTAGCAAAGAAAATGGTACTAAATAGAACCGTGAACATGCAAAGAACCTTTTACATGATTAGAAGGTCCTTTGCATCATGGAAGCGTTCTTCATATTGATGGAAAATGTGCTGTAGATGGTTCTATACAGCACCAAAAGGGGTTCTTCTATTGTTACAGCATCAATCTTGTGACATAGAAGAAGCCTTTTGGGTGCTATATGGAACCCTTTTCAAAAAGGTTCTATATAGAACCATCTGTAGCACACTCTCCATCAATCTGAAGAACCCTCTCCTGGTGCAAAGAAGCCTTTAATCATGCAAAGGGTTCTTTAAGTGTTCATGGTTCTACACAGAACCGTTTTCTTTTCTAAAGAAGCCTTGAAGAACTATGTTTTTCAGTGTTTACCTACAGTTCTATGTGGGGAGCTAAGCGTTAGCCGTAAATATGCGCTGAGGTGGGACGTTTCGACGAAGTAGCACGACTGGTCAGAACACCAGTTGGTCAAACTGACCTGAGACCAGCCAAAACATGCTGATAAACCCCTCCTTCAGACCGGTCAGGCTTTCAGACTCCACACAGGAGCGCAGTGATGGAGAGCAGATCGGGCTGATTACCGTCAGTCGCCTCACCTCACAAACACGCCCCCAGTCACCGACCTGCAGCTCGACCCCTCACAGGGGAGGCTTCTGACCAACACAGTGGGCTTCGGAGAGCGGAGGGAAGCCGAACCAGTATGGTCTAAGGTGAGTGTGGGGACATTTATGGGGACCTTTCATCGATATTTCTCACAGAGTTTAGCCTCGGACATTCGAGAAGCTACCAGTTAACTCCTCTGAGTAACGTCACACGGTGAGGACAGACGGGTCTGGGAGGTTCATAGTAGGACTTCTTGTCTAGTTTACGGTTTTTTTCCTCCTACTTTCCTCTCTAAACTGATAGATACATGAATAATACCGCTGAAAATGACCACAAACGTGGTTACTTTGTTAGAGTTACCACATGAGGGGCTTACCTGTGTCCCTCAGGCTTCTTCTGATGGACCTACTCATATATCCTCCTCAGACCCGGTGTGATGTAGCCTGAAACAAAATGGAGTGTCTTGTTAATAATAACAACTAAATAACCAGTTAGCATGTTTTAAAGTCGAACTAAAGCCGTTCAGCCACACTTTCGTCCAAATTGGTGCCAAAAACCCTCTTTTAAAGGTTCTTTAGATGTTCAGTCATGATTTTGAGCCCAGCTGGTCAAACTACATTGTGTTTATGCTGAAAATAAGTTAACACATAACATAAAAAAAGAAAATAAGTTACTTTTTATTGCACAATTACTGTTTATTTGATGAATTTAACACAAAATTTAGCCTGTGAAGAAGTTGCAGCGCTGCTGTCGGAAGAAAACCTCGTAGCTCCATTTTTGTCGTTTTCAGTTTTTGACATAATCTGAAAATAATTGTCGTCCTTTACATTGTGTGTAAATTTCATGAAGAATGGACCAAAAGAAACGGCCCAAAATGACTTGGGAAAAAGTCTGGTTCCATTGACTTACATTAAAAGTAAAGTAGGTTTTTTTATATGTTACCGTTTTGGAGGTACAAGGTTTTCTTCCGACAACAGCGAGTTATGTTATATATATTTTTCTCCAATGTGTTAATCTCAGCAAATAGGTGTAAAATGTGCACTATGCAGAAAAATGGCACATATAGCTAAGTGTGTTCTGTGTAGAGCTTGTGAACTTATTTTCACTGAAAATCAACAAAATGTAATCTGGTTGAACTTTTACATACAGCAGGTTTTCCATCACAAAGAAGAGCCATTTATGCATTCAGATTCATTGATTTGTCTCAGTTGTATTGGCTTTACTGAAGAACTCTTGTGTAAAATTCTGGAATATCTGTATGATGAGGAAATTACGTCAAGGTACAGTTAGTGGTTTATTTGTGTCATATCTTTGAGAAAAAAGCTTATGGGGTCCAAAACAAACTCTGGATCAGACTTTAAGGGTGTGGTATTGCAGAGCAGAGCAGACGCGTTGGATTATCTGGCCATTGTATTGCGCTGGTCCATCCACTTAGATGCTAAGCTTTCCTGAAAGACAATGAGCAGGAGCTGTGAGATATGTGAGCTGCGATTCTTAACAAAGGAATACTGGAGAGGTGTGTGTGTGGTGTGTGTGGTGTGTGTGTGTGTGTGTGTGTGTGTGTGGGTGTGTGTGTGTGTGTGTGTGTGTGTGTGTGGGTGTGTGTGTGTGTGTGTGTGTGTGTGCCTAAGACAAAAGATTTCGAGCTGTTGGTTGGGGGTTGGATGTTTGTTTGTCTTCCCTTTTCCATTCATTTCCATTGCCACCACTGTTCCACTGAACCGCAGTATGTCTACAACATACTGTCCAAAAAAAAACAAGCACCTCCATTTTTGTGATTTTTAGTTTTCTGCGAAATTTAATCTCAGCAGCTGCCCTTTACGCTGTGTGAAATTTTCGTGATAATTGGACCAATAGAAATGCTCCAAAATTACTTCAAAATCTCTTTACATTATCTTGTGTGGTGTTCAGGTCTGTGGGTCCCGTTTTCAATGTTTACCAAAGACAAAATGATGTGATTTTATTATTATTTCAACCTCAGATTCTTGTCTTTTGCTCATTTTCTGTGAAGAACATATAAAATAACCCATTTTCAGTGTCTTCACTCTGTTCACCCCCCACACATTTATATTACACATGTGGTGTTGGGCTGAACCCACGGGGAAGTAAAAGTGTGGAGGTGCTGTGTCCTTCACTCTGTTCTCCTCCTACATGGCCTGCTGTTAGTGTGTGTGTGTGTGTATGTGTTTGTATATGTGTGTGACGGTGGACAACATAGACAGGCTGCTGACTGGCTACAGCTGCTAAAGGAGAACCCTATGCTGGACACTAGTGATATTTTAAACATCTGGTATTTTTACATAAATTATTATGGCTGTATTGATTTATAAAAACAATAATGCGGTGGGTCCACCAGACCATTGAGTAACAAACACATCAACACCACATATTTTTATATATATATGTTAATGAAAGTCAATGTAACCAGTTTTTTACAAGTAATTTTGGGTCAGTTCTTTTAGTCCATTCATCATGAAATTTATATAGAATGTAAAGGGTAACAGGTATTTTCAAATTATGTCAAAAATGGAGATATTAGGTGTATATATATATATATATATATATATATATATATGTGTGTGTGTGTGTGTGTGCCATATATGCCATCCATAATGCCTCATGTGTACAAAGCGGTGGCCAACTCTCACCAATAAAATAGCTTTTCATAATTATTGTTTGGTAAGAAATGACTGTAAATTGATCATTACGGTTTATTATTTGACTTACATGTATTTTTTACATGTTCTTGTTGTTCCCAAACTACTTTAAATTGTAGATAATCCATCAGTTCATGTTTTGGTGTCTAGTTTATAACTTTTTCATCTACACATCAATCCAGTAAATAGTGGGTGTTTAGACAATTATGTGTTTGTATTTAGTATTTTTTTTTTTGCCATAGTATCATTTATATTTATTAAATACACATACTACAGTTGGTTTCAGTGTCAGAGTAAAAATTCAGGTATCCTGAGGTGCCAACCACCAGATATGAAAGTTATGAAAATTCTAAAATAATTTTAAAAAATAATACTCAGCACGGAGTGGTCTGTAACACCGAAATGCTGTTTCCCAGCCAAACATTAACTTTGCTTACAAAAATTCAATTGCACTAATAATTCTGCTCGAATATGGCAAAAATCAGAATCACGCTTCTTTTGGACAACAGTGAAATCATGATTATTTAAGTCATTTAAATCAATTACTCATTGACTTGAAAGTGGAATCAGACACAGCAGTGCTGCTGGAGTTTTTAAACACTGTGTCCACTCACTGTCCACTCTATTAGACACTCCTACCTTGTCAGTCCACCTTGTAGATGTGAAGTCAGAGACGATAGCTCATCTGCTGCTGCACAGTTTGTGTTGGTCATCCTCTAGATCTTCATCAGTGGTCACAGGACGCTGCCCACAGGACGCTGTTGGCTGGATATTTTTGGTTGGGGGACTATTCTCAGTCCAGCAGTGACACTGAGGTGTTTAAAAACTCCAGCAGCACTGCTGTGTCTGATCCACTCAGACCAGCGCAACACACTCTAACACACCACCACCACGTCAGTGTTACTGCAGAGCTGAGAATGATCCACGACCCAAATAATACCTGCTCTGTGAGGGTCCATGGGGGTCCTGACCACTGAAGAACAGGGTAAAAGGGGGCTAACAAAGTATCAGAGAAACAGATGGACTACAGTCTGTAACTGTAGAACTACAAAGTGCACCTATATAGTAAGTGGAGCTGATAAAATGGACAATGAGCGTAGAAACAAGGAGGTGGTCATAATGTTATGCCTGATCGGTGTATGTCGAGTTGGCCTTTTTTACCTGGTTTCTGACACTGTATGACATACTGTTATCTATAAACATGGACAAAAGTCCCTTGCATACATAGAGTATTAGCAGCCACCTCAAAGTCTGATTTTTATCTGTACTTTTGTCCATTTTGATAAATGTAATACATTGTCTTGTACTTTGTGCATAAAAATTGATAAGGAGGTCAACCAAATTGGTCAAGGGGTTGACATTTACTCATTTACATCTCATTCACAGGCCTGCAACTGCTTCAGCTCTGACTGACAGTCTGGCAAACTAGCCGAACAAAACACCAGAAAAAAGTAGGAGTATCAAGCCGACCTGGAGAGAAAGAACAAAACGTGACCCACACAAAGACCCGCTAAAGAGGAGAGTGAAAGGAGTGGAAGCATGGCTGAAGGAGGGAGGCGCTCTGCTGCTCCAGACGGAGGATGGGGCTGGATGATCGTTGCTGGCTGCTTCCTCACCACCATCTGCACCCGTGCCGTCACCAGGTCAGTTATGGACTGAACTCAGATCAGCACCTTACTCATAAATCTGTCTTGTGCGTTTGTAAAGATGCCAAATTGATCGAACATTCCAAGGACATGACTTAACATACAAAACCAAAGTTTTTTTTCATAACATTGATATAACCATGTCATAATGTTTGATGTCATGGTGGTTAACTACAGTAGACATAGCAAACATTATTATGTGACATAAGCTGTCATGACGTCAAACGTTGTGACATCTGTCATGATTACCAGTAATAGTGCAAGACCGTTATATTACGGGACATGATATTTCATAACAGCATGTGACGTCTTCCATGACATGCTTATGGCTCATTGTCACTTAGCATTATGTTTGCTCCCAATTTGTGGTAACAGTTTGGTGAAGACCCTTAAGCCCCTGTTCTCAAAGCGAGGTCCATAAAAGCATGGTTTGATGAGTTTGGTGTGGAGGAACTCCAGTGGCCTGAACACCTTTGAGATAATTAAGCAATACAGCACGAGAGGGAGTGTGTTATCGCAAAATAACATCACGGCTGTGACAATTCCTTCCGCCGAATTATAGTTCCTTAACAAGCAGCTTGTTGCTACGTCACAGTAACGAGCTCCGCCCACTCGCTGCACAGCCGGCAGTTCGTTCTCCAGCTCCACACAGACCAACTGACAGTTTGGGAATTTAGTGTCGTCTCGTCTTCAGAGTCTGACCAAATCGGCTGTCGGTCAAATGTGATCTTAAAAGTGTCCATTTTCTGTTTGTGGCAAAGTAAGAACTAAAAACGTTCAAATGGCTTGAGCGTCTCCTTGCGTGGCCGGAACTAACTGTTGTATAAATGCAAGGCATGAGGTCAGTGCCTGACCTCACAAATGCTCTTTAGACTGAATGGCCACAAATTCCCACAGACACACTCCAAAATCTTGTGGAAAGCTTCTCAAAAGAGTGGAGACCAATTTTAGCCATAAAGAGGAAGCTAACTCAATATTATGGTTTTGAAATTGAGTACTTTTGCCCATAAAGTGTGTATCTATCTATCTATCTATCTATCTGCACTCACTGAGCACTTTATTAGGAACACTTCTACATCTATTTCTTCATGCAATTATCTAATCAGCCAATCTTGTGGCAGGAGAGCAGTGCATAAAGTCATGCAGATACAGGCCGGCAGCTTCAGGTAATGTTCACATCAACCATCCGAATAGTGGGAAAAATGTGATCTCAGCGATTTTAAACATGACATGGGTTTTTATGTATTTATGTAACTACTGATCTCCTGCGACTTTCAAGCACAACAGTCTCTTGAGTTCAGTCAGACTGGAGCAGTAAAGAAAAACCTCCAGTGAGTCGCAGTCCTTTGGATGGAAAGGCCTTGTTGATGAGAGAGGTCAGTGGAGAATGGCCAGACTGGTTCGAGCTGACAGAAGGGCTACGGTAACTCAGATAACCACTCTGTACAACTGTGGTGAGCAGAAGAGTCTCAGGATGCACAACACGTCGAACCTTGAGGTGGATGGGCTACAACAGCAGAAGACCATGTTGGGTTTCACTTCTGACAGCCAAGAACAGAAAGCTGAGGCTGCAGTGGGCACAGATTTACCATAACTGGACAGTTGATTATTGGAAAAACGTAGCCTGGTCTGATGAATTTCGATTTTGGCTGAGGCACACAGATGCATAAATCCATTGACCCAACCTGCCTTGTTTCCACAATCCAGGCTGGTGGAGGTGGAATGTTTTCTTGGCCCATTAACACCAATCATTGCTTGAATGCCACAGCCTATTTGAGTATTGTTGCTGACGACGTGCTTCCCCTCATGACCACAATTGACCCATCTTCTATTGGTTACTTCCCGCATAAGTACTCTCAAACATGACAATAAGCTCAGTGTTCTTCAGTGGCCTTCCTAGTCACCGGATCTGAAACCAGTAGAACACCTTTGGGATGTGATAGAACGGAAGATTTGCAGCATGAAAGTGCTCCGGAAAAATCTGCAGGAATTGCTTGATGGAATCATGTCAACATGGACTGGAATCTCAAAGGAACATTTCCAACATGCCATAAGGAATTGAGGCTGTTTAGAGAGCAAAAGGAGGCCCAGCTCAGTATTAGTATAGTGTTCCTAATAAAGTGTTTGGTGAGTGTTTAGACACAGTACTAGCATTTTTAGCATTCTAGCTACATTTGTCATAGAAGCAGATTTGATATCTGCCCAGTATCAATACTGGACATTGGTAGTGGAGGCCTGAGATAAACCTGAGTCTGGAAAACTGACCACATGACCATGAGCTCTAAAACACATTAGAAGAGTCTACCTAAGATGACCGTTGCTGTATTTTGCAGGTGTGTGTCCATCTTCTTTGTGGAGTTTCACATGCACTTCTCCAGCGATTATTCCAGAACTGCGTGGATTCACTCTCTGGTCGACTGCACCACCATGCTCTGTGGTAAGAACTTGAGTTCTGATGAGTTTAACTTTCTCAATACTTTATATTCTGAGTGAGCAGAAATCAGCTGAACTTCAACTTGCTATTCATTGTGAGGGAAGTTTTCCTGTGTTCAGAAAAACAGCTCTCGCAAAATCATAAGGCTCTTTTATTTTTTTGCTGTTTTATTGGCCACTTAGAGCACGTTTGGTGATAAGCTTCAGATTTCTCAGATTTGCTGCACAATACATTCATTGGGATGTAAACAAAGTCATTCAGAGTTGTTTGATGTGAAATGCTGCGTTCTAGAGAATTGTTCACAGTGGTGGTGATAGGAACCAGATATCTGAAACAGCTGATGTCGCTATGAGCTCCCTCATGGATAGTTATTGCATGAAGTGGTTATGAAAACGCTGCCTGATGCTTCAAACATTATTTTATGATAGTTTTGGCTTAAAAAAAACATTTTTAAATGGTGGAGATGTACATGCAGTGTTGTTAGGCAAAATGGTAGCCATGCTATTTCACATTTACTGTTATTTTACCATCATCAACATTACATATAAAACTCAGCTTTTTGGTAGGTTCACCGATTGTTTTGGATAGTAAATAAAATGGCTATATTATAAATCCGAGTCTGTGAACCATCTGTGAACAGGGCATAAATGTGGTTGGTGTAGTGTACTGGGTAACACCTCTGCCTTCTACGCTGTAGACTGGGGTTCAATCCCAGCCTGGGTAATCACCCTACACTATACCAATAGGAGTCCTTGGGCAAGACTCCAAACACTACCTTCACCTACCTGTGCAAAATGATCAAATTGTAAGTCGCTCTGCATAAGAGTGTCTGCCAAATGCCATAAATACTGTCCTTATGCTATAATACATTGCAATATGTGTAATAGTAATCATAGTAAAAGCCACAATACAAAATATCAGTTATCTTTAGAGAATATTGAAATACATACATACATAAATCATCTAAACCGCTTATCCTTCTGGGTCGCGGTGGGGTGCTGGAGCCTATCCCAGCTGTCATTGGGCGGAAGGCAGGATACACCCTGGACAGGTCTCCGGTCCATCGCAGGGCAGAATATTGAAATATTATTTTAAAAAGATAATACTAAAGAATTTAGGAAAACGTTCATTAGTCGTGGCTCTAAAATAAGTTGAAATTTCTTCTTTCCTAGTGGAGAGCTTTAAAACTTTAAAAAAGTTTCTTTTTCCAATTTAAGACGTCTATATAACTAACTAATTTTTCTAAGTATTGTACATAAAGCTTCAGAAAGCTTGCTGATCAATCTTTTACATCCAAATCTAGTCTAGTCTGTCAATCTTTCAGTAAATTAATCTGTTAATTTTCAGTTATCCTTGGCTTAAGATTTCATTTTTTGCAGCAAATTAGCAGAAAAAGTGTGTCTGTCACTCACAGTCAGACATTCTTAAACAGGGGCTTTGAATTGTATCTCTGCTCTGACGTCTGCTCTGCTCTGTCTCTGCAGCTCCTCTGGGCAGCTACATAGGGAACCGTTTGTCGTGCAGAGCGGCAGTGATGGTTGGAGGATTGCTGTCCTCTGCTGGGCTCATTCTCAGCTCTTTCGCCACCAGTCTGGAGTACCTCTACCTGTCTCTGGGCGTTCTCACAGGTCAGACAGACACTTAACTGCACACAACTTCAGCACACAAAGAACACCTTGTTGTGGCTTCTCTTAGATCGTACAACTAAATCTGACTGATGTCATTTTGAATATGCCAACCAAGTCACTGATGTCCAGATTGCTTCTTTAGTTTCACATTGGAGATACAAAGCTAATGTAGCATGCGCCCTACCATGTAGCATTGTGCTAACTGCATATCTAAGGCTACGTCCACATTACCAGGCTGAAGTGGCACAAATCCGAGTTTTTGCCCTAATGTGACTCAGATCTGATGTTTTCAGGGCTGTGTGGAAACGCAAATCTGATGTTTTTAAATCTGACCTGAGTCACTTTCATATGTGGTCCTAGATCGGATACGTATCTGATTCGTGGCCATGCGACCTTAATGAGGCGCTCAGATCGGAATTCATGTGCTTTTTTTCCACTGCGCCATCATTCAGCGTTACCATGGCAGCAGCGCCAAACAGAAGTTAAAGCCTGTAAACGGCGGAAAAGCAGCTCATCTCACCTTTTTCTCCTTCGTCTCGCTCTAATAATGAAGCTGAGAGCTGATCAGAGTTAATTATCTTCTCAGCGAAGCTGAGAGATCGGATTTGAGCAAAAAATGGGATTTAAGCAAAAAGGCTTGTAATGTGAACATAGCTTTAGTCATCGCTCACTTGTCTTAAACTGCATTTAGTTGTTAAAGGGGAACTCCACCGATTTTGCAAAATTACTTAATCATTCAATGGTTTAGTTGTGAACAAAATCATTCAGAGTGGTTTGGTGTGAAATGCGCCTTTCCAGAGAAATTTTTCATGTCAAAAAATTGTTCACTGTTATAGTAAAAGAACCAGACGTCCAAAACATTTAATGGATCTAAAAGCTGCGTCCTGTTAAGTTATTACACAAAACGGTTATAAATTTTTTCTTGATAGCTGCGACATTGTTTTGTGATAGCTTTGTGATAAAGTTTTGGTGTAAAAACGTATTTTTAGTAAAATATATTACTCCAGGATTATTTCCGTGTTTCCCATTCCCTTTCCTTTGGCGGCGCCTTCACTGAACAGATAACAACACCAAGCAACACTGGAACTATGGAAAGAGAAAAGGTTCAAAAAAGGTTTGTACGGCAGCTGTATGCACCCAATCGGCGATGAACCGTACAAGAAGTATTTATCAGTATGATTATTTACTGTACTGTACTTTACTCTAATTGAAAATGATATTTATCACGGAATTTTAATTATGCGGTGTTATCTTGGGTGAATTTATGTTGGGGATTGGGTGAAAACACACGGCCATTAAATCTTTTTTTGAACCTTTTCGCTTTCCGTAGTTCCACTGTTGCTTGCCGTTGCTTAGTGAATGCGACCGAGGTCCCTCATCAAAGGGAACGTGAATTTGAGTGGGAACTGATTCGAATATAACACCGGCACTGAAGCAGAAGAACCCAGGGAGAATGGAAATTGATGGTGTCAACAACAAATTACTTGCTGCTCTGCTCACCAGTTTATGGGGCAGGACAGCAAAGAGCAACTGGGGTCTATCGCAGCTTCTCTGATGAATAACGTTACTCACATAAGCTCTGAGTTTTGCTGACCGTGCAACAAAACGCCACCAACCCAAACAACACAAACGTGCAGGGTGGAGAGGTACATGCAGGGCGTTGTAAGGAAATACAGGGAGATTCACTCGAAAGAGGCCCCGAATATTCTGTTGTAACTCCAGTTAGGATGACGCAATCTGAACCAAAAGAATACCCTACTTACCTTGACGTCTGTGTAATCGATTGCATTACATGCGATGCTGGAAGTGATCTCTGTTTTCTGCCAGACACATGAAGGGGGGTATGGTGGTCTGCACCCAGAAGTTGCAAACGGAGGTTAAACGTCGCAACAGCTGCCCGGCGCCTACTCATCGCTCCGACGCAGGGGCATCCCAGCTTGTTGGAAGCTCCATATACTGAGGAGCTCATTGCACGCTGTTTCGTTCAGATTGCTTTCGTCCTAGAGAGAGTTATTACAGAATATTTGGGGCCTCTTTCCGAGTGAATCTCCTTGTCGTACTCAAATTATGGATTTTTTCGAATTTAGCACTATTTTACCATTATCAGCATGGCATATAAAACCTTATAAGACACATAGTGCACTGGTCATTTTTTAATAGTAGATAAAATGGTGCATATTTGTAGTGTATACATACAGACGTCTGGTTCCTAGTACTACAACGGTGAAGAATTTGGCACATTTCAAACCAAACCACTCTGAATGATTTTGTTTATATCTAAACGGTTGAATAATTAAGCAATTCTGCAAAATCGGTGGAGTTCCCCTTCAAATAAATGAGCATGGTTTCTGACACTGTATGAATGTTCTCTGTAGAAACAATGTTTTAATTTGAGGTTTGTCCCATTTCGTAGGGCAAGATTTCAACCACTACCCCTTGTAACTCAGTTCCAAGGGGTTTGGGTGACACTTGAAAACAAGGGGTAGGGGTAAAAAGAAGAAAAGGGATTGGGCCTAAGTCTGGATATGAACTACACAAAACACATGCTAAAAATGACAAGACGTATAATTAGCGCATCTTACAGTTGCGCATTTTTTGACATTGAAATCTTCCAGCTTCATTCAGCGATAGATCCATACGACGATACCATCGCCGGTCAGCGCAGGCCTAGTAAAAATGTCTTGTTCTTAAACAGAAGCATTTGAGCCACTTCACCAAACAAACACGAGTTCTGTTGACTGAATAAATATAATAACTACAACAGAGTTGCAGCAGAACAGTACTACAGTATGACCGTGCCTTGTTTGACTGAGCCCACCTTCTTCTCTCCTTCTCAGGTGTGGGCTTTGCCTTCAGTTACACCCCTGCGATCGCCATGGTGGGCACCTACTTCAAAGAGAGGAAAGCTCTAGCTTACGGGATTGCCATGTCGGGCACCGGCATTGGGACCTTCATCCTCGCGCCTGTGGTGCAGCTCCTCATCGAGCTCTATTCCTGGAGGGGGGCGCTCCTCATTCTAGGGGGTCTTGTCTCACATTTGTGCGTCTGTGGGGCCCTTATGAGGCCCCTCGTCAACCCCCGGCTGAAGCAGAGCAGCAAGAAGGAGTTTGAGGTTGACGTGGTAAAATCTAAATTGCACGTGGAATTGGACCTGGAAAAAGCTAAAGCTCCAAAAGAGAGTTTGGAAATGGGAGAGTCGGATTGTGGTGCTGTAAATAAAGACAAAGAGAGCAGCGGAGATCTAACAGACGAGGATAAACCGGAAGAAGAGTGTGAGGAAACAGAGAGTTTACTGAGAAACGGAGAACAAGTCATCACAGAGTCAAACCCAGCAGAAGAACAGCTTATAGACTCAATCCGAAGAGGCTTTACACTTGAAGAGAAAACATCTGGAGATTCAGACATGAAGGAGAACATAAAAGACATAGATTCAAAGCCTGAGGACACAAAAGGAATTTTAGTGAACAGAACTTCAAAAGATTCAGAACAAGAAATAAACATTAAGTCTACCAACTTGAAGAACCCAAACCAGAAGACTCGATCAGACGCAAGTCTTGACGGTGCTATTCCAGCGGACTCAGTTTTGGTGAATTCAAAACTAGCTCACACAAAGCAAGCTGACTCAGTGCTAACAGGCTCAAAGCTAGCTGAGTCAGTGGAAGCTAACTCAGTGCTAACTGGCTCAAAGCTAGCTGAGTCAGTGGAAGCTAACTCAGTGCTAACTGGCTCAAAGCTACCTGAGTCATTGGAAGCTAACTCAGTGCTAACTGGGTCAAAGCAACCTGAGTCAATGCTAACTGACTCAGAGCTAAATGACTCAAAGCTAATTGTGCCTTTGCTAGCTAACTCTGACCTTACTGGCTCAAAGCTAGCTGAGTCAATGGAAGCTAACTCAGTGCTAACTGGCACAAAACTAGCTGAGTCAGAGCTAAATCACTCAAAGCTAGCTGGGTCAGTAGAAGCTAACTCAGTGCTAACTGGGTCAGTAGAAGCTAACTCAGTGTTAACTGGGTCAAAGCTAGCTGAGTCAGTGCTAGTTGACTCAGAGCTAAATGACTCAAAGCTAACTGTGTCATTGCTAGCTAACTCTGACCTTACTGGCTCAAAGCTACCTGAGTCATTGGAAGCTAACTCAGTGCTAACTGGCACAAAGCTAGCTGAGTCATTGGAAGCTAACTCAGTGCTAACGGCCTCAAAGCTAGCTGAGTCAGAGCTAAATGACTCAAAGCTAGCTGAGTCAATAGAAGCTAATTCAGTGCTAACTGCGTCAAAGCTAGCTGAGTCGGAGCTAAATGACTCAAAGCTAGCTGAGTCATTGGAAGCTAACTCAGTGCTAACTGCCTCAAAGCTAGCTGAGTCATTGGAAGCTAACTCAGTGCTAACTGGCACAAAGCTAGCTGAGTCATTGGAAGCTAACTCAGTGCTAACTGCCTCAAAGCTAACTGGGTCAGAGCTAAATGACTCAAAGCTAACTCTGCCATTCCTAGCTAACCCAAAGCTTACTGACCCGAACCTAGCTGTGTTAGTGCTAGGTGACTCAGCACTACATGACTCAAAGCTCGCTGAGTCAGTGTTAGCGGACTCAGAGCTCCTGTGTGAAGTGGCCTTTAGCGAAAGTCCAGGCAGAGAAAAGGAAGGTCATTTCTTCCTGCCGTCCACAGACGAGTACCGCTTCCTGCTAATGCCTGACTTTCTGCTGCTGTCAGTGTCGTTCCTGTTCCTGGCGTTCGGCTGCAGCGTGCCGTTTGTTTACCTTGTGCCGTATTCTCTCAGCATCGGCGTCGGTCATCAGCAGGCCGCCCTCCTCATGTCCGTCCTGGGAGTGATGGGAATTGTGGGAAACATCACGTTTGGCTGGATCTCAGATCGAAAGTGAGTCATGATTGAGTTCTTTCCGTTGTTGATGTTGACAGCATGATAGAGTAACTGTCTTAAGCACTATTTGAGTTTTACTCGAGGTAATGTCATTTTACGAGAAGAGTCTGGCTGCAGACATGCACTCTCAGCCTGACATGCACTGCCAGCTTATTGATGACATCAGTGCCACTCTGCCACGAGCGTTTTTGTCGGTTTTACGAGGAAAAACAGCGAACCACGTACTGCTGGGCAACAAGAGCTACACTGAATGTATACTAACGTTGCAATACTGATAATAAGGTGATCAGATGGAAATGGAAACTTTCAAAATTAAACCTCCCACGATGATCAGACATGAATGTCGAGTTTATTCGTAGAAAGCCACGTCGAAGGCGATCAGAACCGGTTATTAAAAACTGTAATATTGATTAAAATAGAACTCATTAACGATTCTAGGACAGCGTACAGTCAATGTGGTACCAATTACTTTTGCTGTCTCATCAGAACCTCCTAGAAAGTTGTCAGACAACGTTGTTATAACTTTCTGAGGAATTACATTTCATCATTGTGACAATGTAGAAAAGCACCAAGCAGACGACACTGTGGGCACCAAAACAGTCACAACGTCACAACGTAACTGTGTTTGCAGGGCCGTTAGGAATAAAACCTGATGGTTTTGCGTTTCTGAATGGAATTGGCTTGATGGTTGCCGTTAGAGGCCATTAGGAAACGATCAGAATCCTTTACACTGTGATATCAACCCATCAGGAACACACAGGATACCATTAACCACCAGGAACCAACGGACACTTTTAATAGGTTCTATGATTTTTTTCAACAGGAAGGTACATTAAATGTACCTCTCTAGTTGTGTTATGGACGAAAAATGGACGAAGTGATGATGTCGCTAAGCAGCAGCAGCCCAAAGTTACCGTGCCGATGGGCTGCTATTGCCATTGCGGCAGAGAGTGCATGTGCACGTGACGTCACTGGGGCTGAGAGTGCATCTGGCTGAGACTGCATGTCTGCAGCCAGACTCTGTTGCATTTTATTGGCGTTTCTCAGTGATTTTAATCCCGTTGAATGCACCGTCCTTTTATTCACTGCACGTTTCTGCTTCAGTAAAGACTCTGGCATCTTTTACCTCAACAAAAGTAAAAGAACAAAAGAAATACTCCAAGTCACATAAATACAGTGTGAATCTACATGTTAGTAAAAACGCTATCATATCCTGTGGAAAAGCAGATTCTTAAGTAGGCGCTTGAAGAAGCCTTTATTTGTGATGTCTCGGGCTAAAATCGAGCCAGTATGTACTGTCCTACCCCAAGTGTACAACTCAGAACATTAAAACGGAAAAGTTACAGAACAAAGGTTGATTTTATGCAGTGATGTTGACTGCTGGCTGTGAATTCCCGAGCTAATCACAATGCTATTTGTAAAGGTAGTGCATAATTTGAGTAGCCGCTCCCATCTCTGTCATTTATACCAGGATTTCTTATACCATATAGATTGGTCATAAACATTATCAATCGGTGGAATTCCCCTGTAAATTTATTATGTGACTATAATGGGGACATACAGTCAGGGGTGGACGAAGTACACAAATCATGTACTGGAGTTAAAGTAGAGAGACCCAAAGTAAAATATTACTCCAGTAAAAGTAGAAGTTCCTCCCTTTAGACCTCCACTTGAGTAAAAGTACAAAAGTATTTGCCTTCAAATGTACTTAAGTATAAAAAGTAAAAGTACTAAAAGATTAATTATGACTCTGATGTCCTATTATCATTTTTGTAACAAGACTCGCTTCATTAACTCATTTTAGGTGAAAATACTCCAGTGTCTCTCTTGGTAAACCAGTCTTTTAATAGAGTCATTAATTAGTGACGCTGATGTCTATTAAAATGATCATAAGCACAAAACACTGAAGGCAAACAGTTTCCATCAGGTAGAACTGAGTGGCTCTGAAATCACTTTTTACAAACAAGCAAAGTTTCAGTTTAAGATTTATTTGAACTTAGTTACAGTTTAAGTTTAATAAAAACTTAACTCAGGTTCACAAATGAGTTTCCTTTACTAAACTGCATCTGTAGGTCTCTGTTTATAAACATAAACCAGCCAAAACTAATTTACTATAAAATGAAATAGTGTTTGTATAAATTCAGAATAAAGACACGTCAGTCACAACTGCATATGTGTACATATTTCTATATTGTGGTCTGTTTACACAAAGTTAGGTTAGTTCATCATTTATGTTGAATAGACTCTCCCAAAATTTTACGCTGCTGCACTGACGTTGAACCGTGTGCTGCACTGGGTCGGTATGACCAACAGGTCAAAACAAGCTCAAAACAAAGTGACCGCTGTGCCTGATTGGTGTTCTTGCTTTGCACTTCTTTCGTTTTGACATGTTACATTTTTATACACACATAAACCAAAAGGAACGACAGATTTCTCAGAATGTAGTGGAGTAAAAAGTGAGATATTTGACTTTGAAATGTAGTGGAGTGAAAGTAAAAAGTGGCCCAAAATGGAAAAACTTCAGTAAAGATACATGAAAAACTACTTAAGTACAATAACCAATTACATTTACTTCTTTACTGTCCACCACTGCATACAGTATTATGAGAACACTGGGCCTCATTCAAGTTTCTGACATTTACCAGTGTTTCTCATTTGTGCACACTCAAGAGCACAAAGGTACAAAGAGTTCTGCTTTTTAAGCACATCATGGATCTGACAGACTTTTTTTAGAACGTTTCTCAAGAACAAATTTAAGAAAAACTTAGGAAGACACTGGAGAATGAGGCCCATTATCTGGAGTGAACATTTTAAGGACTGTTTCCTTTATCTTTACCCAAGTTTCTTCAGTACTCGTCTCTGAGAAATATGTCTTCATTTCTGTCCTTGTGTGTCTGTGCAGGTGTTTGAGGACGTATCGAATAGTGAGTTACTTGCTGGCAGTGGGGCTTGAAGGGCTGGGTTGCCTCTTTGTGCCCCTGTTGAGGAACTTTTCACTGCTAGTGCCCTTTGCCCTTTTCTACGGCTACTTTGACGGTGCCTATGTGGCGCTTCTCCCTGTGGTGACCTCTGACACCGTAGGGCCCACCTACCTCTCCTCAGCCCTGGGCGTGGTCTGCTTCCTGCACGCCATTCCCTACCTCATCAGCCCACCAATAGCAGGTAAGAATTAGAACTTTACACTACGTTCACATTACCAGGCTGAAGTGGCACAAATCTGATTTTTTGCCCTAATGTGACTCAGATCTGATGTTTTCAGGGCTGTGTGGACACAAATCTGATCATTTCAAATCCAATCTGAGCCACTTTCTTATGTGGTCCTAGATCAGATACGTAACCGATTCGTGGCCGTGCGACCTTAATCTGACACTCAGATCGGAATTCATGTGCTTTTTTTCCACTGCGCGTGCTCCATCATTCAGCATTACCATGGCAGCAGCGCCAAACAGAAGTTAAAGCCTGTAAACGGTGGAAAAGCAGCTCATCTCACCTTTTTCTCCTTCGTCTCGCTCTAATAATGAAGCTGAGAGCTGATCAGAGTTAATTATCTTCTCAGCGAAGCTCGTTCTGCTCGTTAGTTTGCGCTGATGATGAACGTGATTTATTCACGTGACGTTACTGAGTAGGATGTGGTCATGAGGGTCATTTCAGGACGCCGGTTCGTTCACATTAATGACAGATTTGAATCACTTACCTAAACGAGTGTGAACCATAGTGTCAGTGAGATCAGATTTGAGCAAAAAATCAGATATGAGCAACAAGGCTCGTAATATAAACGTAGCTTTAGTGATGTCCGATCCCGAATACAGCCAGAAGATTTTTTGTCTGAACCCAGTCCACACAAATTTAAATCAACCTCTGAAATGACGTCAAGACAAATATTTCAAATATTTGTACTTGTAGTTTGTAAACTCTCAAACACGCAAACGTTTGTCAAAGTGGTAAATACTAATAGTAAACTCAGGTTCCACGTCATATCACCAGCAGTTCATTCTCAGGCCCTATCAGTAACAAACCAACAGCAAATTATTTATTACTTGTAGTTATAAGGACTGTCCAAGTGCCCCATTAAGCCCACAGCGCAGAGACCGGACGTTCTCTAACAAACACCATCAAACCCAAACGTTTACCTGCATGTGATTGGTGGGAGTCTCTAGAATGTTCTCCCCTCATTCACACTGGTTCATTTGGTTCATCACTTCTTACTCATCAGCCCACCAATAGCAGGTAAGAATTAGAGCTTTAGAAGACTGCCAGAAGATTTTTTTGTCCGAACCCAATCCACACAAATTTGAATCAACCTCAGAAATGACGTCAAGACAAATATTTCAAGCTCTAGTAAAGACGCGGCTTAATTTCTGGATTGTACTCATAGTTTGTATTGTACTTGTAGTTTGTAAACTCTCAAATTACACTAAAACGGCTGTCGAAGTGGTAAATACTAATTGCAAACTCAGCCAAGTTCCATGTTACCTTAGTTGTGACATATCACCAGCAATTCATTCTCAGGCCCTGTCAGTGAGGTTCATTTGGCTCATCACGTCTTACTCTGCAGTAGTACACATCAAAAAATGATACCTTGGCAAGTGAAAACATCTAAAATCTAGTCAATATGAGACTGTAGTAAGAATATTCTAAGATTATTTAAGTCATTTCTAGACATGTCTTACTTCTTAGTCACTTTACCTACATCTTATTCTGTTGGCACATAGTTTTTCCAAATTTAAGATATGATAATTTCGCTTGTTTCAAAAAACAACAAAATGATCTGCCAGTATAATAAGAGCATTTCACTTCGTAAAATGCCTTCAACAGATACAAAATGTCTAGAAATAAGTTAATATCTACCTGTTGAAGCTTCTGTATAATTTTATGTGAAATGTATGCTTTCTGTTTTTTCCTTATGCTGAAAAAAGAACTTTTATTTAACTGGAAATGAAAGAAGTAAAATAAATGAAGGGTGGTATCTGATTTTTGCATAGTGCAGTACATGCAATTCACATGAATGTATCTGCAGAAAGTGACGTTTCTCTGTTTCTCTCAGGTTGGTTGGTGGATCAGACGGGCTCCTACACAGCTGCGTTCCTCCTGAGTGGATTCTCATTGATCTGTAGTGCTTCGATTCTGGCCACTGTCAGTTTGGCTCGACGCTGCAATAGAAGGGCCCTCTCAGTCTTACCTGGGATGACGCCACTGAAAGGACTTTTGCCATGTTATGAGCAACATAACTTCACTCATTTTGAAACCAAAGAGGGTATCGAACCCGGCCTATCAGGTACATATCACTGCGGTGGGCAGCTGGGAGATTAGCCACCAATCCCGCCCACTACCCTGCACGCTGTCTGTGTTTTACAGAATGAACAGATGGGATGAGGCAGAACAGAAACAAAAATAAGCTCTAATAATCAGAAAAATTCTGTATTTCAGTTGCTCCAGCACCATTGACTTTGCTCACTTAGATTTGAGTGTTTATCCTCTAAATTTGCCTCAGTGCAATATCAGTGAGCCAAAACTAACGTTAGCCTATGGTCCTAACGAGGATATGAATTAAAAGTAGCTTAAGCTAAAAACACGTTTTACCTGCTGAGATTTGAGTCTTAATTCTCTTAACTTGCTTCAGTGAAGCTTCAGCAGACTGGCTTGAACCAGCGTGGTTGTATGTTAAATTAAACTCCACCCTAAGACCTTTTTTTTATTAATAGCTGAAATGCACTGTTATGTAGTAATAAAATATACCAGCCTTGCTTAAAATGTGAACTGTAAAAATATCATTTTTATCATGGTCAGTTCCGCCTCTGCAGCGCCTCTCTGGTTCAACGCTGCTACAGGCGTGGATGATGTGTCTTCGTACCAAAGTACAATGACATGTCACAGCATGCAAATCAGTCAAACAACGTTACCGCCCCCTGACGATGCCCTACCAGAGCCGGTTTATGAGGAGCCTGGCCTCTTCCTATTTCCCCCGTCATATCAAAAACAGGACGGCTAAACAGCAGAGGGCGCCCACGCAACAATATATACAGTATACACCTGTGGGCAGCGTCCTGTGACCACTGATGAAGGACTAGAGGATGACCAACACAAACTGTGCAGCAGCAGATGAGCTATCGTCTCTGACTTTACATCTGCAAGGTGGACTGACAAGGTAGGAGTGTCTAATAGAGTGGACAGAGAGTGGACACAGTGTTTAAAAACTCCAATAGCACTGCTGTGTCTGATCCACTCAGACCAGCACAACACACACTAACACACCACCACCACGTCAGAGTTACTGCAGTGCTGAGAATGATCCACCACCCAAATAGTACCTGCTCTGTGAGGGTCCATGGGGGTCCTGACCACTGAAGAACAGGGTATGTAGAGAAACAGATGGACTACAGTCTGTAACTGTAGAACTACAAAGTGCACCTATATAGTAAGTGGAGCTGATAAAATGGACAATGAGCGTAATGTTATGCCTGATTGATGTATATACAGTATATAAAACAATTTGTTTTTATTTAAAATAATTTTTGAATTGTAATTTTGGCATATTTTGAATCAAACAAGGGCAAGTTGGGGTCATGGCAAAATGTTAAGTGAAAATGAAATAAAAACACAGCTGGCCCACAGATTGGTTGAGATTTTTTAATATGGGCCGTTTAGCCTTTATTCACTGTAGCTCTCAAGCCAACAAAGCAGACGGCCACTACTACTTCTACTTTCCCCATAATAATAATAATAATAATAATAATATGTGTATTTTGGAAACATGTTTAGTGTATTAGATGTAAATGTAGTGCATTATGTACTGCTGTAATTCTTTTTCCTAATTGTTTCTATTTACATTGTTTTTCCAGTTACATTTACATTTAATTCACTGACAACAGTGAAATGAAAGACACTCCACCTCAGCTTCAGACGTTCTAATTAGCAGACTACCAAGAGGAAGACTAGATGAAATCCATACCTGTCAGTAAGTAAAGATTATAAAGACAGCCACGAGGCTTGACGTCCAAAAAAAAAACCCTTAATTAAACTTGGATATAAGAAATATGTTTATTTCTATTTAAAAGGAATATGAGGTAACCAGGTTAGGGCTAGATACACAGTCATGGAAAAGCCTGTAGTATCAAACCCTGTCCCTGATGAGAAAAACAGTACAGAGAAGGCTTTGTGGTAAAAAAGATTGAGAGCCTCAAGTTAGAATTATGCTAAAAGACAGCTCCCACTTTCTTTCAGCGTCGGCCATTTACTGCTTACATAAATAAAATTTGCATATCATCTCTGTCCATAGAAAACCAAGCATCTCCACAATGGAAAAGAAGGCAAAAACATTATTAACTTTTAATGCAAGTTAGTGTAAAAAGGTTTTAGTGCTTTTGGAGCATTTCTGTTGGTCTACTGATCATGAAATTTTCACAAAATGTAAAGGGCAGCTTCTGAGGTGAAACGATGCAGAAAAATAGAAGAAAATGGAGATGCTTTGTTTTTTGGATCGTGATAATATGTGCATCACAGGAAAAAAAACAAACAGAAAGTATTGGTGATAAAAAATGTTAATTTATCTTCATTGGCTTTTCACTTTCTCAGATACATCTGAACACATTCACTTTTTCTTCTCCATGCCTTCATATTAGCTGAACGGATAGAGATAGAGGTGGAATTACGGGAATTAGGAGAGGGTCTTGACAGGATGTCCCTGTCAACACAGACCAGCCTGCCGCTCTGCCCTGCAGTTTTCAGCGTTTCTCAGGCACATAATACACTTTTGCTGATGCCATTGAAAACTGAGAAAAATATACAGACATGACGTAAATATATTATTCCACAAATAAACAAACATTAAAGGCTGTGTTTACATAAACTCTGGTTGGGAGAAAAGCAAAAAGTACACTTAATCTGACATTTTCAGTTCTGATTCAGGCCACTTTATGGCCCAATCCCATTTCTTCTTTTTACCCCTACCCCTTGTTTTCGAGTGTCACCCTAACCTCTTGAAACTGAGTTACAAGGGGTAGTGGTTGAAATCTTGCCCTACGAAATGGGACCCTCAAAACACATTACTTCATTAACAGCTACTAGCGCTGCTCTGTAGGCGACCCTGCCCGTCTGCAGTGATAGCAGAGGAGGGTAAAGTTCAGCTCCTCACTGCTGGGCTTTAGTTACATTTAGGGCATCATATGCTTTCAAAGAGGGGGGCAATTATTTATTATCGCTCACCGCTAATTCTTCAGTGATATGAAGCTGAAGTCAGATATTCACCAGCTTCTTGTTCGGATTTTCCTGTTCCACCTTAAATGGTGCAGCAGTTACATTCTGGCGCTTCAGGCGTCAGAACTGCTGGACTATTTAAGGTGGAACGGGAACGTTAGCTAGCTAGCTACCGAGACATTAGCATGCTATTAGCGATTTTTTATGCTTGTTATGAAGAAAACGACCATAATACACTGAAACAACATTAAACTAAGATAAAACAGTGATTATTGTAATTTTTAACAGAGAAAATTCTCACATTTGTGGGTTTCTTTGGTCTCTTGTTCTCCATCTTGCCGGTTTTTCTTTTTTTCTCATATCTCTCTGTTTGGAGTCTCTGAAAAACCTCTGTTTGGAGGGCCATGTAGCCCAAACACTTCGCCCTACCCCTCTATCGCAACAAGAATTGGGACACCCTACCCCTAGACATGAACGTGCAAAACAGAGGGCTAAGGGCTAAGTGGTAGGGGCGAGGGGTGAAATGGGATCGGGCCTATATGTGGTACAGGTATGAGACTGAAAAACAACTTCGGTCTTAAGAAATACATGCGTAAAAACACGTCTCAGCTCTCGTTCAGCAGCCGTTTCAACCGGCCTCAGGAGAAATGGCTTCAGAGACGAAGGCAAAGGGCCAGAAACTCTCATGTGACACTGACAGTTCCATTCTTTTTTACTAGATTAATCACAGTTTTGTCACCAAATTACAGTTGGCAATACAAGCACAACCTTTACTGAACTGTGCTTTTATTGTTTTCTTATTTGACAAAGATTAAGACTCGCATGGCATCACTGAGTTTTCTCAGTGACCCTAAACGTGTAAGTTTAATAACTCATGTGGGACAAACTGTTTTGGGGTGCTTAAAATGGGGTTCACCAAGTCTTAGGTTCACAAAAGTAATGGAACGTAAGAATAAAATAGATAAATGTTATCCTCCTCGCTGTTTTCCCGAACCTCTGCCGCAACTTCAGCGGCTGTAAACTTTTTACACACCATTTCATGTCCGTGTCCGAGACGACTGAATGAAAAATGAAAGGTTTCCAACGTGATAGGTAAGACCTTAGTGATTCCCTGAGTGACCACTGGTCAGTTACACACAAAATGTATACAGATACACAAATCCACACAGTGAGAGGCAGATGATGTGTATCTCAACTCATTACTTTGGCTCATAACTTCACGTGAGTCACGTACGATCTCGCAATAAGAAGGAATCGAAAGTGCGACACTACAGACTCAGGAAATGTCTGAATCATATTATTGCGCTGTATTATTGCAAAGATATTAATAGTAACATCGGGAAATATCTAATTTCGTCGATCCCAGTAGGTTAAACAAACAGCCATTCAAAATCAGGTTTACTGCAAGGATATGTTGATGTATTTTACATTAAGCTAACTTAAGAAGTTAATATTACCAACCCAAGAAAAACAGATTTGAAAAGTTGAGCGCTTGCAGTGTGAACAAAACCAAAGTGATTCCTGGGATTTTTCACATGTCCTTAAATTGCTGGAGTGGACAGTCGTGTAGGACAGAGAAAAAATGTGTAACTTTCATGCCCACCCTTGTCTTTCTTGTCCTTTTTTGACAATCTGCTGCACCTGATCGGCTGGCAATTTGTGGTCTGTTCTGATGAGGTTGTTGACGAGTCTGTTGTAGGCTCCTTTCATCCCATGTTTCTGATACCACTTCCTGAGCAATTGGAAGGTCTGTTCCTCTGCATTGGGGTAATCGTGCTCTACGTTCTCCATCTCAACATCAGTCAACATCTGCGAACGCCTGGTCACGTCTTTCACCACTTGCAAGCCCAGTTTCTGGGCTATATCGGGCAGGAAGTCTGTCAAGTCCACATCTACACACGGTCAAGGACAGAGAAATGCAAACATTCGCTGTTAGATCACACGACTACAATGATGTAGTTTTTTCACAAAAAAAAATTGAGGTAACTGTTGCCGTGGCAATCTCCACTTCATAGGAGAACTTGCTTGTTAATCTGACAATTTATTCCAGGTAATTGAGGGTCATTTTTATCGGCCCGTGTGTTACAAAGTGTTAAACAGGTGGCCTAAGTATTGTACTAGGTTAGTTTAACCGTTTAATGTATTTCAGTCCTGTGCAGTTGTAACTAATAAAGAAGAGTATAATGGCTGAATTTTAGAAAACATACCTTCTAAGAGCGGGAACACCTACAAAAAAAGAAAACGAGTAATTACTAAACAGCCGAAGAACATGAAACACAAGACATGAAGAACTAATATTACACCATAAAGAGATTAGTGACCTAGAGCTCCTTACCTCTGCTCTGATTATCATTTCCTTTGGAGATCCTTTAAAACAAAACTTCTTTTTCTTCCATAAAAATACAGTCACACAGACGAGCAGGACCATGCATACAACGACGGCTGCTACAATGGCCGCAACGTTGGGCTCTGCAAACACAAAGTCACAGTTTTATAAGTGCAAAACTGAACTTCAGAGAGTTTTTGAGTCGTTATTACTGAAACTGCAATACTTAATAAAGCTGTAATATTATGTATTACTTCTTGATAAGAACAGCTCAGCAATTTACAGAGTCAAATGTGCTGTGTAGTGTAGTAAACACAATGGGCCAGATTCATTAAACTTAGCAGTAACAGCACTATACCACACAAAACGTGAGGCGCGGTAAATAAGACCTATTTATGAAGTCACTGTGGTGGTGATAAAGTCACTTTAACGCTGCTGGATTTTCATCTCCCATCCTCAGCAAGAGCCAATTAAAATCTACATGTAAATGAGGCATGAGGTCACACATATTAAAGGCCTGCTGAGTGATCTGATGAAACAAAAAACCAAAAAAGAAAAAAAAAGAAAATAGCGATTCTAAGAATTGCTGCGCTGCAAGTAATAGCAAAATGTTTGATAATGATGTTTTTACCTTTTAATCAAGAAATTATTATAAATTATATAAATTATATTTTTACAAAATGTGTTGACTATTAAAAAAATTATGTTTTAAAATATCTTACAATTCAATTTTAAGTGTAGGATTTATTTTTTTCGCAAGTAAGATTTCTCATTGGTTAAAATTCATTATAGTTCATTATAATCACAAAAAGGAAATTACTAACATTAATTTGTTAGTTTAATATTTCCATTTTTTGCGCAGAATTAAAAATTAAATTGACATGCTGAAATTCTGATTACCAAGGCAAGCCATTTTAGCTTTTATTTCCTATTTTTCTTGATCAATTTAATTTACACGTGAAAAATTTTAACTAGTAAATATTTCATTCTTGATAGCAGCAATTTGATTTGCACATGTAAAAATATAATACAAATTAAAAGAAAATATTAAATATCATCTAGTAAAAGATAAGTTTTTACTTGTAAGGAATTCAGTTTAATAGTACAAATGTCATTTTCAGATGCCTAAATTGAGTTCTTTTGTAAAATTCATTGTAAATTGAAAAAAAGACCAAAACCTTAAACTTTTTGCAGTAAAATCAATTGAAACAGGTAAACAGAGTCTCAACTTTTTACTTATTTAAATTCTCAGCTAAACCTACTTTCCATTCATAAAAGAGGGGATTCACAAATCATAGAATTTGTCTAATTTGATAATCTTGTTGCACACTATTCTGCTAAATGCTTTTCTAGTTTTTCTAATAATGATGATAGTGAGTTTTAAAGAAGTGCACTGAATGTGAAAGAAACCAGCAACCACATCAAAATCATGCGGACGTCATTCAAACACATTTTAAACTATAGCATTATATACATCAATGCAAAGCAGAATTTCTTTTCCTTTTAATCAATGGGTTCAAGCCAACCTGTCTTTTCGTTGCACACTGTGTTGCTGGTTTTACTGCAAGGCACTTTCACCCCAAACTTGCATCTGTTGGAAAAACAAGGAGAGAACAAGAGAAAAGAACATGAGTGACCAGACCTATACTGCCATAGACCTACAATGGTAACTTTACAGGAGAAGGAAAAAACCTTTTGTATTTTGTACTTTGGATGGAAGAATTTTGGAGTGTTTTTACTGGTCAGTTTATCATGAAACTTCAACACAATGTGAAGACCACCTGGTATTTACAAATGATATCAAAAAATGAAAAATGCAAAAATGGAAATAGGAGGTTTTGTCAGGAATGCTGTAAAAATAAGTATTTGCTCTATTGATTTCCTCTATTTTTGCATTTGTCACTTTAAACAGTTTCAGATTATCATAGAAAACATAATATAAGACAATGAATGCGTTTGCATGCACTTAATAATCCGATCATAATCGGATTTCTGCAGTCATCTGGTTATTCAAATGGTCATGTAAACACCATATTCCGATCTAGAAATGTGATTAAGAAATCTGATAAAGAGAGCTGGATTTTAGCTCAGTAATCAGATTTCTCAGAGCATGAAACCTCTTACTCTGATTTCTTTCGGATTTCTCAGTCGGTGAAAACAGACCACGATACCGGAAATAAGCGAGCAGTGTTGTCGCGAGACGCAGCAAAAGCGACGCTGAAACCAACTACATGCTTGACGAAATGAAGGATTTAAATATTCTTCATCTTCTAGATGATGTATGTTCGTATTTTCAGGTAAAGTGGGTTGATGTTTTTTTAAGCCTCTCATCAGGTTGCAAAGCAGAAATCTGATTGCTGTCTGACTCATGTAGACCTGGAGTTTCCCCATTATCTGATTACTCAAGTGCATGTAAACGCACTTATCGGATTACTGACAAAATCTGATTTTCAGCAGTTATCGGATTATTAAGTGCATGTAAACAAACTCACTGAGAACATGAGGAAACAACAATATTACCCGTCTGAAAAGTAATAGCCCCCTATATTTATTATTTATATACATTCACATACACCTTTATTCTCTCTTAGTTTCAGTACGTACGTGTCACAGGCGTAGCAGGCCGTGCACTCGTCGCCCTTGTCGCAGTAGTGACCGTCCTTGCAGCGGCAAACTGTGTTGGCGAGGAGTGTGCATGCTTTCTCAACCTCCCTGTTAGCTGTGACACAAAAAAGGAGTCGGTTAGATTCTTTATCAAAAACATAAAGATTCACAATGCATTATTTGAATTACCTGCCACAACCAGAAAGATCATCTATGTAGATTAAGACAGACTATATGAGGTCAAAGTAAAACTGTTAATAATAGAACATAATAGAACATGAGGAATGTATGTTTCTGTTGTAATATGTAGCCACATCAGTGCAGAAGGGTTTCCTACATGTTACAGGTCATCATCATGGGTAGTAACGGGATACAAGTAATGCCGTTATGTAATCATGATACACAAAAAGTCTGTTTTCAACTTAAAAGACAGTGATTAGCGGTAATCCTTACTCATAAAAGACTGGGCCTTTCCTGGAACCTCTTTTTTATGTTTATGTTGCCTCTTTTGAAATGTTTTCTGAACATTTAACAACATTCCTTAATGTTCTTAAACCACCCGAGTCCCAGATTTTTTACACCGCGTTGCTGCTATCAATTTCAGAATGAACGTGTATTTCCAAAAAAACAATAACGTTGATAAGATAAAAGATTAAATATCTTGTCTTTGTATTGCTTTTGTTGAAAAACAGGTCAAGGTGGATTTACAAATCATTGCTTTTTGGGGTTTTTTTTGCATTTTATCATGTAAAAATTAATTTCTATGCTAATTTTGGCCTTTCTTTCTTCTTGTTGTTGTTGCTTTTTCCTTCCCTGCGAGTAACCAGACATCTGTTCATTAGCTCTTACGGATAACTGCACATCCATATTTCCGAATAGTGATTTCAGTTTTCGACTACTGGCACCTCGAACAGTTAACTGAGTACTCGAGAAGCAGCACATGTGAAAAACTTTCATATCAGTCTGGCTCTGGTACCAGATAACATGGTACCACTTTACAATGAGACTGCCTTTATAAAGGGTTTATGGAAGGTTTAAAGGGGTTATTAATCCGATCGTAAACAGTTTAAAATGATTAATAAGCAGTTACAACAGTGAGCTGTTACATCCAATGAATATAATATGAATATCTGATAAAGCTGACATTGAACCAGCCAGATCTGAGGGTTAACAGTATACAGACATATTGTTGCCGTCGCCGCAAAAAACTTGCATCTCAAGTTTTGTTGTTTTTCACTTTTTTGCATAATTTGAAAACAATAGTTACGCTTTGCATTGTGTTATAATTGTATGATACATGGACCAACAGACATTGTCCGAAAGTACAAAAATCTGGTCACATTAACTCCTATTATAAGTCAAGAATGTTTTTTGTTTTTAACCGTAACCCAGTTCTTTCCTCTGTATGCATTTATTCTGTCCCCTATTTAGACTAGCTTTTATTCTGATGTTTCTCATTTTGTATTAGACACCTACTGTCTGATCACCCCTGGTCAAATGATGTTTTGTTGATTTTCTAAGGACTTTAAGTTACAGTACAAAAAAAAAAAGCTTCAGCACATTTTAATGCACAATTACTGTTTATTTGGTCAAATTAATACATTGGGGATAAAAAAAAAAAAACAAAACAAAAATTGCGGCCTGCGCAAAATTTACGGCACATTTTATATTTAATTTTTTTCCAAAATATTAACCCAGAAAATGAATAGAAGTCGTGCATTCCAATTTGTAGAACAATGCCATATTCCTGTGTGTTGTCGCTACAGGGTGTGTTACACAAAATCAACATTACCCGTTATTTGACTGGGGGATATTTAATTTTTAGCATACGACTGTAAGTGAATGTGGCCTCACTATCTGAAAAGCAACAGGTCACTGTTTCCTTTTTTCTTTATGTTAAAACTGCTTATTAATGACGTTGAGGTGTTTATGACCAATTTAATAACAATTACTAAACTCATTTTATATGATCTATAAGGGTGGTGTTATCCCTTAAAAAAAAGTATACTTACAGTTCATTTTATTCAGTAAACTTACATAAAGTTCAAGTATATTTCCCAAGTATACTTTATGTAGTAAGCATACTAATATCAATGTACTGGTATTATTTTTGTAAGGCCCAATCCCATTTCACCCCTCGCCCCTACTTCTTAGCCCTTAGCCCACTGTTTTGCTTGTTCACGTCTAGGGTCAGGGTGTCCCAATTCTTGTTGAGATAGAGGGGTAGGGTGAAGTGTTAGAGCTACATGTATTTTCTCCATTAAAAAATTAAGATAACCATCGTAGTTTAATGTTGTTTTAGTGTATTATGGTTGTTTTCTTTGCAATCAGCATAAAAAATCGCTAATAGCATGCTAATGTATCAGTAGCTAACTAGCTAACTTTCCCGTTCCACCTTAAATAGTCCAGCAGTTCTGACGCCTGAAGCGCCAGAATGTAACTGCTGCACCATTTAAGGTGGAACAGGAAAATCCAAACAAGAAGCTGGTGAATATCTGACTTCAGCTTCATATCACTGAAGAATTAGTGGTGGGTGATAATAAATAATTGCCCCCCTCTTTGAAGGCATATGATGCCCTAAATGTAACTAAAGCCCAGCAGTGAGGAGCTGAACTTTACCCTCCTCTGCTGTCACTGAAGACGGGCCGGGTCGCCTACAGAGCAGCGCTAGTAGCTGTTAATGAAGCAATGTTTTATTATATATATATATCCATTGGTCTAACTGCATATCTTTGGACTTTGGGATGAAACCCACTCAGACAGAGAGAACATGCACACTCCACACATAAAGGACGCTGGTCACCCGGCTGGGGAATCGAACCCATGCCCTTCTTGCTGTGAGGTGACAGTGCCACCCACTGTTACTTTGAACTTACTTATACTGTTCTTCAGTACATCAAAGGATTTAGTACAAGCTGAATATACTTAAACTTTTTCTGTATACTTGTAAGTATAATGCAAGTATACTGAAGTTTCGTTTTGTTTAGTATATCTCTGATTAGTTCATAAAAGTATACTAAATACTCTTAGCATACTCACTTAATTTTTTCCATTTAAAAGAATTAAACTAATAACACTTGAATAAACTCCTTTTTTGTAAGAGATGGTAAAGAAGTAGTACTGATTATTTTAAATTGGGAAAAGAAAGAAAGACAGAAAGGAAGGAAGGTTGGGAACCTACCCGAGTCCTCACAGGGCGAACAGAGTTCACAGCTTCGTTTGCCATTTGCGTGATCCATAAAAGTTTCGCCTTCCTTGCACCACTCACACTTTGAAATACCTCCTGCCTGAGTGCAGTGATCCTGAACATAATAACCTGAACACACACACACACACACACACACACACACACACACACACACACTTAGGATTTCTATCTATTCATTATCACTTATATTGTTGTACATGCTGTTCTCTCCTGCACCTCACCTGAGGGACAGAGACAGCACTCTAATCCTGTCTTTTCATCTGTGTACGTCCCATGTTCACATGACTGCCGTCTCTTGCGCAGCTTCAAACCTTCAGTTAAGCAGAAGATGCTCAGCTGTAGAAGAAAAAGAGGAAACAGAATCAAGAAGAAATCAAGAGCATTTGTCAGGGGTCGGTTAGCACAATAGCTGTGTTCCAAAGCCTGGGCTGCAGCTGAGGTAGTGCGGGTCCTCAGTAGGACTGTCCTATGAAGACTCCTCCTTAGTAGCCTATCGGTCACACTAATGGATCAGTCCTAATGAGGCTGCGTGGTGACGTCACCAGAGCGGCGCCAAACTCGTAAGGGAACTGGTGAGAGAAAACGGAGCCGCTGCATTGAGTTTGTTGCTTTTTCATTTCTTCACCGAAATGGAAGAGATGATCTTATGTAGTACGATAAACTACATACACACAAATATTCAAAATAAAATACGATAAAAGGACAAATTCTTTAACGAATCAGTCATTTGACACTATAAGGTACCGTAGACGAATTCAAGTACGTGAACAACTGAGATTTTAAAACAAACTCTTCTCCAACTGCTTTGTTTTCTGACATTTTTGCGGTGTAGGGCAGCATAATGTCGGGAAAGATACATCTTATGCGACCTTCAAATCACTCAGCATTTCTAGGCTGTATATGAAGGGTCCTTCACTTTGGAACGGCCTGCTATGACCTAGCGGCCGAGAAATGCAGCCTAGGCTTTGGAACGCGGCTCACGTTAGCTTTCAGGTCAGGAGTAAGCAAGCATTTTCAGTATGATCACATCTGCATTTTACATTTGCATTTTCCCATCTTTCTAGCTCGGTGTTCTCTTTGACAACGCAATTTCAAATGCATTCGAGAGTGAAAATGCATACAATATAAATCACATTTTAATTATCACTTTGACACAATTGCTGCGTAATCACATGAAGCATAAATATGCAGTACTGGAAATATATTTTAATATAGATAAAGCTGCTCATAAAGCATCTCAATCTTGAAAATGAATGAAATGTCAACACTAGTGCACCAAAACGCAAAATCGCAGTACTGAACACGAATTTTCATTTTGAGCTCAACATTGCATATATGAGTGGGACATTTAAAGTCAGAGTTAAAAAAAAACACATTCTGGACTAAAATCATTTTGCTTTGAGTGAGTCTACACCTTAAAGGAGCAATAAGCGCTGTGTATGACCATAAGAAACAAAACGCTATGTGTAAAACTGAGGTCACTGTCTTTAAGTTTGTTTCATAACGTAGACTCACCTGAGACGAAGGCTCAAACTACTTCTACTGACAGGTGAGCTGAGTTTGCTTAATACTGAATGGAAAAAATGATCATGGAGGATCTTCACGACTCTTTACAAGCAGAAATAACAAGTAACATTAGGCTGTTTGAAAGCCCTCATAAGGGACAGAGGACTTAAGAGTGATGCTGAAGTAGCTTACTTTCTGCTATTTGTTCTCAGGCATTTTTGATGTGACCACAAAGTTAAGCTGTTTATTTTTTCAAAAATGCAAATATACATCAAATTATAACCATATTTTGGCGCTAGCATACACGCTAATAGCATACATGCTAATAGTAACAAAAAGCAAATGAAAACGGAAAAATAGAAATCACCCAAACGACTCGTCAAAATCCTTATAGTAAAGTCTGTTCACTCAGTGGCCATTTTTGTAACGCCGCCGGGCAGTTATTTCCAGTCATACAAGACAACGAGCTGTATTACAGAAACTTCTTAAGTCTGAAATCTTATCTGTTCAGTCACCATGACAACTTCAGTTAGGACTGAATTTAGGATAGAAGCTATAACAGAACAACAGTTCTTAAGTTCATAATCTTATCCTAACTCCAGATAAGAAAACTTTATTACAGAAACATCCTAACTGGACACAATTTCAAAATACTGTCATAACTTTAAGACAAACCCCAGAGGTGTCTTAACTTCTGTTTTAACAGTCCATTTGTATCATTTTTAACCTTTTCAACTCCTTGAGACCACCAGTGGTTCCAAAACTGTCTTCTTTCCAGTCAAATAGATGGGTGATGTAATTTTAATAAACTATAAACAGATGGCGTCTCTTCAGTGATCTGCTCTGTAAAAATTATTTTTATAAAATAATACAAAGAGCGTCTAAGATTTTTGCCTTTCAGCAGTAAATTGTAAGCATATAGCAATATGTGTGATCATAAAACACATGTTCTGTTAATTTGAGGGGAGCTTTTACAAAAAAAATAAAATAAAATAAAAATGTACATTTCATGCAGTTACTGAATAATTTGCCGTACGATTTGGTCACGTAAATTCAGATGGACAAACCAAAATATACCCTGGAGCATAAGAGGTTAACTTGTTTTAACAGTCCATTTGTATAGTTTTTAAACTGTTACAGGCAGCATAAATCACTACTGGCATAATCATGTTACATTTATTTATACGATGGTTTCTCGTCTCTCTTGTAAGATGTTTTTCTTTTCTACTAGCATTTTAAAAATCCCAGACACTGCAAACAGGATTTCCACCATCCCTTTATTAACTTAGTGTGATAATGTTGATAAAAACTCAAGACAAAGTTGAACGTGTGGCTGTTTATTAGGGGGAATAACGCAGCAAAGCTCACAGGACGGCTAAAGCGTTAGAGAAATGGAAACTGAAACTGGGGAGCGGAAACTCTCTGACAGTATACAGAAAGACTCTCATTCTTAATCTTTAATTATCCTTAATCCTTAATTTTTTTACACTGGTAACTGCTGTAATTTACATTTTAGCATTAATTTTGATTACATGTTTACGTTTCAGGTGTGCACGGATCATCAGCTGCTTGGTAAGAGGCATGACAGTTGATTGTTGACTTTGAGTAGGTTAAGATTTACTAACGAGATAAAATGCTGTAAGATACACTATATGGACAAAAATACTGGGACACCCCTCCTAATTATTAAGTTCAGGTGTTTCAGCCACACTCAGGGGCATACAATAAAGCCCATAGCCTTGCAGTCTCGATAGACAAACAGTGGCAGTAGAATGAGTCATACTGATGAGCTCACTGACCTCAAACTGCACGGTCAGAGAATGTCACCTCTGCCACAAGCCAGTTTGTGAAATCTTTGCCCCAGTCAACTGTAAACGCTATTATTGTGAAATGGAAGCACCTATAAGCAACAACAGCTCAGCCACAAAGTGGTAGACCACACAAACTCAAAGAGTCCCAAATTGCCTCAAATGAAACGAATAAAGGTACTGGTCACTATGCAGTTGTTGTTGTTTACAGGATCTCTATAACTGATCCAAATCTGGATTTTTTTATGTTACAGACAGCTGTTGGAAAGCTAATGCGTATAGTCAGGAGGTTTCAGTGAGTTAAAGAAAAAGTCCCTACAGTTACTCAGTGCTACAAGGAAATCTGCTCAGGGTTTTTACTTTTGAAACTGTTAAGCACTTCTGATAAGAGCTCTGATCACAATATTACCATAAAAATTTGGTAGAATTTGCTGCAGTAATAATGTTGCTGGTGACAGGAACCAGGGGTTGTCATGCGTCCAGTTTTGCCACTTTATTTGCCATCCAAAACCATCAGTGAACCATGTTTTATATGTAATGTTGATGAGGTAAAATAAAATAAAATCTGAAAAAAATATGTTTTTGTTCTGGGGGGATTATTTTTGCCCCTCTGGGCACTATTTTGCACTGCCCTCTCCATCATCAATGTGTTTTACAATAACATTTAAAAGGCTTATCTCAAATCCATCATGAAAGAACGTCTCAGGCATCAGGAACATATTGTGATCATTTCCGTGAGGGAGTTTTTACAGGCATTAAATGTTTCAGACGTCTGGTTCCTATCACCACCACTGTGAACTCTTCTGACTCTGTGAGCTTCTCTAGAACAGAGCATTCCACCTCAACCACTCTGAATGACTCTGTTTACATCTTAACCATTTAATTATGCGGAAACTTTGAAACATTTGTGGAATTCCCCATTAATTTTATGCCAAAGGGAACCATTTACAGTACACAAACGTTAACCGTACAGAAAGAATGAAGCTTTCTACTTATTAATATTATTAGTGTTATTTATGTGTTTTGAACAGTTCTTTCAACACAGTGTGAACCATCCCGCAAATTACATGAACTGCAGTCAAGCTTTTATTAATTATTAATATTGCTGAAAAACAAAATATCTATCAATTCCACTAAAAATCAATATTGACATCTATATCAATGCACCAGTACAGATGATAACTCTGGATGTCCCCCATCAAAATGGACTATACTACTAATAATCCATTGTCAATTACAAATAATAACTATTATGTGTATATGGGCAGTCAGTGATGGGCCTCCATCATTGGGGTCGCACTGCGGAGGGGAAACAGAGGCCCACAAGGGATCTGACCACAGATAAATGGCATAAATGCTGTTAAAATGTCACAGGGAGCCCAGAAGGCAGTGCACCTTCATAAATGTTTACGAAAAACGTGATTTAACATGACAAGCTTTGATATAGTCATTAGTGGAAACTTTGAGTCATTTTATTCAGCAGACCTGTTGTTTAACCCTTCAAAGTGGGCCCAAAGTTTCATTACACACTTCTACAACCTAAAAATAACTCAGCCAGTTTGCACTGACGTCCATGTGGTTGCTCAATAATGAGCTCTAGTATCAATCAATAAATCAACTTTTATTTAAACTCGGAATGCATCGAGGGAGACCCTCATTTACAATGTAGCCGAGTAATACAGGAATCAGGGATTGAGAAGTTGTACAGCAAAAAAACAAACCAAATGCTTTAATTAAATAATAAAAATCATAAAAGTAAAATTTAGTAATAAGAAGATACCAATAAACTGTTAAATCAATAAAGGATGTAAGACAATTATTTGACAATAACAAAATAAATCAAAAGAATACTAATAAAAGAATAAAAAGAATGATAAAACGTAAAGAAATAAAAATACAAAAGTAAAAAAGTAGCTAAGACACAGCTAAAAAATACCAAAAATCATATTAAAAGTTAAGTAAAGTCTAATAAAGCAGTGTCAGGCTGATTGGAGGTGGTTAGAGACTAAAAGTTTGAAATGTGACACGAGAGAGTGAAGTTTTAGTTTCCTGTAATGAATTCCAGCCACTGGTTCCGTAGCTAAAAGCTGATTTTCCCAGCTCAGTAAAAGCTCTCAGCACCTGAAGGGTCCAATCACTGGAACGAGTCTGATAAACTGCATTATTTACAGTGAGCATTTCTGTGATGTACGATGGCCAGTAAGCGCTTTATATATATATATAAAAAAAAAGCCAGTGTGTCTAATGACACACAGACAGAGATGACCAGCCAACCTTTTCACATAGTATACAATGATGGGTGTTGTAGGGGTCACCAGTAATGAATCTTAAGGCAGCGTAATAAACAGAGTCTAGAGATTTCAAAGCAGTTATGTAATAAGTCGGGGGGTTAAGGGTGTGAAGCCATTATTGTCTGATGTTACAACATGTTTTCTCTTTCAGTTCCCCCTCTGGTCCCTCTGGCCAAATGCACTTCTCTGAGCTTGTGGAACAACAGGTGGTAGGCTAATGCTGGACATGTCCGGTCTTGTTCACAAATGACTTAAAATGATACTGATTGTATACATTTATACCTCTGTGGCTTAACGTGTCTGATGGTTATTTACTACCTAAAATTACCAGTGAACCTACTGGTGTCTTCTGAGTTTTATATGTAATGTTGATGAAGGTAAAATAGTCATAATTCTGAAATACTAGGCTTTCTTTGGGGACTATTTTGCCTTGTACCTCTACACCGTAAATGGCCAGGCCCCGCTAACAGGCCCAAAGATTTATTACACACTTCTATAACCTAAGAATAGCTTGACCAGTTTGCATTGAAGTCCCTGTAGTTACTGAATAATAAGCCTTAGTATGAAACGACCCTGAGATTAAAATACTAAGTAATATTAAGTTCAGGCCAATACTTTCTCAAAACTATCATAGAACAGGTTTTCGTGTAATAACTTTCAGTGAGGGAGCTTTTAGAGGCATTAAACTCTTCAGCTGTCTCACTCCTATCTCTCACTGAAAGTTATTACATGAAATGGTTCTGAATACACTGCCTGGTGTCTGAGATATCGTTTATAATAGTTTTGTGATAAAGTTTTAGGCTTCGAATGTATTTTAATCGATTTACGGTGGAGGGTGTGAGGCAAAATAGTCTCCCAAGAAAATTATTTTTTCAAAATTATGACTATTTTACCTTTATAATCTATATAAAAACTCAGAAGACTTGTGTAGGCTCACTGGTGGTTTTGGATATTAAATAAAATGGCTATATCTGTGTCGTAGACATGGTGACACCTGGTTCCTATCACCACCACTGTAAAGACATCAGTCTGTAAGCATCTCTAGAAAGAACTACATCACACCAAACCACTCTGGATGACTGTATTTACCTCTCAGGGACTGAAATGTTCAGAATTCAGCCGTGGAGATAAACCACATCTTTCCGATCGCCCATCACAGTGAAGGCCACCACGCACTCTCACTGAACCACCATTACATACTCGAAGCGAAACGAGAAAACGAAAGTGAAAGTAAAATCCGAGACAACATTAATTCGCCGTGCGTCAATAAAAATGTCCAGAAAAGCTGAGGAGACTTTAAACTGGTCAGTTCTGAACTCTGAGTACACAAAATCATTCTTTATACTAAAAATAGACAAAAACTGAAGCCACCTTAACCCGGATTCAGCACTCAGTCAACGTTAGCTTACAAGGCTAACAGGCTGAATGAGCAGCAGACCGAATTTCGGCTTCTTTCAGATCTTAGAAAAGCTAAAAAGTGCGATAAAAGCACTTTAAAAGACTTTACGAGGCTCAAACTGGCTTCTTTTTTCACCAGCTGCCTCTTCGAGTTTTCCGTTCCACCTTAAATGGCGCGGCGGTTATGTTCAGGCGTTCGCACAACTGCAGTCCTACTTAAGGTGGAACGGTGAGCTCGAAGAAGAAGAAGCCTTCGACGTAGCGCTGCTCGTCTCTTTATACGGGTATAAATCTGGATTTTAATCATTTCTACTTACCGAAAAACAGAGCAGAGCGAAGAGAGTCGTGCTCGTCATCTTGGCTGGCAGGTTGGGCTGTTCTGGACTTTCCAAACTCGCTCTTCAACAGGAAGATCAGAGCCAGCATCTCCGAGAGCGTCTATTTACACGTGCCAAGACTCCAAGCCGCCCACTACACGCCACGCCCACTCGAAGACACGCCCGTTCGAGTTATTCGCTTACTTGTTTTAAAGATTCGATGACGTAAGTCTGTCACCGCGAGAGGTTTCTAATGTTTATTTTTTTCCCTCTCTGTTGTTATTTTAACTATTTTGCTACATAATTTTAGTATTTATTTAATAGTCCACTAAAGTATGATTAAAGACTCACTGCATTCACTAACACTGAAAACACTTCTAATGCAGGGGTGTTCAGTTTTATTTGAAAAGCCCAATCTGGCTATAGGTTTACAGGCCCATTTCCAAAAAAATCACCTCTTCTTTTAACAACATTCTGTAAGAGTTTGGGAACTGAGGAGACACTGCTGTAGTTCTGAAAGTGATATATTTCCCCGTTCTTGTTTGATATAGTATTTCAGCTGCTCAGCAGTTCGAGGTCTCCTTTGTCATTTTTTTCATTTTCATAATGTGCCAAATGTTTTCAGTGGGTGATGGCGTACAGTTCAAAAGCCAGTATTCGTGATGGTATAGGGGGCATTAGTGCACATGGCGTGGGTGATGTGCACGTCTGTGAAAGCACCATTAATGCTGAACGCTGCCATCCAGACGACGTCTTTTTCAGGGAAGACCTTGTTTATTTCAGCAAGATAATGTAAAACCACATTCTGCACATATTACAACAACATGGCTCCGTATTAAAAGAGTCCGGCTGCTAAACTGACCTGCCTGCAGTCCAGACCTGTCGCCACTGATAACATTTGGCGCATTATGAATTGAAAAATTCTTTCTAAACTACAGCAGTGTCTCCTCAGTTCCCAAACTCTTACAGAGTGTTGTTAAAGAAGAGGTGATGAAACACAGTGGTAAACAGGCCCCCGTCCCAACTTTTTTGGAACGTGTTGTTGGCATCAAATTCAAAATGAGCATATATTTACAATAAAATTTCTCAGTTTCAACATTTGATGTCGTCTTTGTAGTATTTTCCTTTAAAAATATGGTTTACATGATACATTCTGCACAGCATCTTTTGAAACTTTTTTGGAAATGGGGTTGTAGTTTCTGATCAAAGAGACACTATCCTTGAAGACAAAAACAGCAGAGAAAAGAATCTGTGGTAACAGACAACTAACCAACCCACCAACCCAGTTTAACCGCCTATTGTGATTATTTTCCAGAATAAGAGACTTTGTTACCACCACAGGCCTAAAGTATACACAAAGAACTTTGTAACAGAAGAAATCAAAGAAATGGATTTTCAAGATCAGCTTTATTGCAAAGATAATTTGATATAAATTTCCATATTGTTTCCCTTCTTTAACAGTCTTCATCACAGCAGGTGAACAAAAAAAAAACTGAGCTCCCTTTCTTTGTCCATTCAACTCCCACAATCAAAACAAGCACAGAAATTCAAAATTTTCAAAATTTGTGCAAACTTTGCTCAACAGTTGACACATTAAATCTGACATTTTCGATTCCAATTTCAGATGCTTTCATATGTGGTACTGAAATCAGATATCTGATCTGCGGGCAATGCGACTCAGTCTGAACAGCCAGATCGGAATTCATGCGACCTTTACGTCAATCCATTCATCATAATTTCGCGCTGCTGAGACTCAAACATTAATGCTGATGTTTCTTTTCTAAAAAAATCAGAAGAGCCGCATCCAAACTGTGTGTTCGAAGAGATTTCGAAAGAAATGGCCAAACGCGGCGTAAGAGAAAGAGGCTGCAGCGTCAAGAGACAGTCTGAAAACAAAGTTTAAAGAATCTGAGGACGCGAACCAAAGAAGTGACCGTGGCCGAATAACATGCATTTTTACGGCTCGAACACATTCTGGGTGATGGTAGAGTTAGAGTTAGCAAGGCTATACTCTCTTGGACTCCCGGCCACAGATGATCGAACTCACAATCTCCTGACAATGTGGCCATTTGGGAGCGAGTCCATTCATCTTAAGGAAACACAGGGGACAGCTGTGTTTGTTGGATGCCAGAAGAAGCACAGTTCTTTTGAGCATGCGAGTGAGTTTAGCAGCGTGATTTGCTCAGACTAACTTCAGATACAGGCCAAAAATAAAACGATGATGTGAACAACCAAAACAAAACAATTAAGATTTGAACGGTTGAGCACTTGTAGTGTGAACAAAACCACAACAAGTGATTCCCAAGATTTTTCACATGTCCTTAAATTGCTGTAGTGGACATTCATGTAGCAAAACACACGTGTTCTTTAATCTTAGAGAATTTACTTTCGTGCTGACTCTTCATTTCTTTCTTGTCCTTATTTGACAATCTGCTGCACCTGATTGGCTGACGATCTGTGGCCTGTATTGATGAGGTTGTTGACGAGTCTGTTGTAGGCTCCTTTTAATCCATGTTTCTGATACCACAACTTGAGCAACTGGAAGGTCTGTTCCTTTGCATTGGGGTAATCGTGCTCTACGTTCTCCATCTCAACATCAGTCAACATCCACGAACGCCTGGTCACGTCTTTCACCGCTTGCAAGCCGAGTTTGTGGGCTATTTCAGGCAGGAAGTCTGTCAAGTCCACATCTACACACGGTCAAGGACAGAGAAATGTTAACACACATTGTTTTACATTTTTATTCGCACGAAATTTGAAACAAACACTTCCGGTAGCTCTTGCTGTATAATGTTCATTGTATAGGAGACCTTCAATGCATGTTAATCTAACATTTTATTCCTATTGTGGACCATTTCTATTGGCCCATTTACACAGGTGGCATTAGCAAATTATACTACATCAGTTTAACAGTTTAATACATTTTAGCTGTAGTCAATGAAGAACCAGAGTACAATGACCAAAGTCTTGTCACTCAGGTACTTCTTAATTTTAGGATACGTACCTTCTAAGAGCGGGTCCACCTGTACACAAAAAGCAGTAATTACTGATCAGCCAAAGAACATGAAACACAGCCATGAAGAACTGATATTCCACCCTAAGGTCATGTTCCTTACCTCTAGACTCTCTGGAATTTTCTTTGGAGGTTCTTTAAAGCATAGCATCTTATTAATCCATAAGAATACAACCACACATACAAGTATTAAAATGCATAGACTGCATATTGCCAAGACAATAACTGCAACATTGAGCCCTGCAAATACATAAATGAACACAGTTTAAGCACAAAACTGAACATGTGAAGTTCATAAAGTCCTTATTACTGAAACAGCACTGTCAGTACTTCATGAACATTGTATTATTACGTATAAGAACAGCTCACAGACACCAGTTTACAAAGTCAAATGTGCTGTGTAAAGTATTAAATGTAGTGGGTCACTGCAGTTTACTGTACTGTAAAGAACCTGCAGTTTACGAGCAAAACATTCGTTAATGATTCCTTTAAAGGGTATAAAGTTGTTTGTAAACACAGCAATACTCTGGTGGAAAATCAAATGTACACAATTTCTAAAAATTGACACGTTTTCAAGACGTGCACTCAAACTTTTTTAAAGAAATAAACCAGCACCCAAACCCACCAATGTAAAAAATGATTTTTCTATCTAATGCATGGGTGCGAGTCAGCCTGCATGTTGTGGTGGAATGGCATACCGTCTTTGCACACTGTGTTGTTGGATGCGGTGCAAGGCACTTTCACCTCCAGTCCCTCACATCTATAGGAAAAACAAGGAGAGAACGAGAGAAAAGAACATGAGTAACTGGGCCAAAGTGTTTACCCTCATCTAAAGCTCAGAATTCAGTTGGTGAAAGCCTTGCTAATTAGCTGATGAGCTGAATTAAGTGTGTTTGATGAGGCAGTGCTGAAGTCTGCATTGTAATGATCTGTTTTTAAATGATTATTACTGAAGGAAAAAAGTTTTTCAACACCCATATCACCCATCTGAATCAGTAACTGCCCCACCCTGCCAATTTTCATAACTGGGTGTGCCACCTTAAGCCACAAAAACTGCAACCAAATACTTCCTATAACTGGAGTTCAGTCTGGAGAATGATCTATGCTCAATGATATGTTTAATTATTAATTATAAGCACCCAGTTTACACAGTGGAGATACTCCACAGCTTTCCACAAGATTTTGGAGTGTGTCTGTTCAGTCAAAACAGCATTTGTGAGGTCAGGCACTGATGTTGGACGAGAAGATTTGGCTCGCAATTGACATTCCAATTCACCCAAAACTCATCAAACCGTGTCTTTATGAGCCTCGCTTACTGCACAGGGGCTCAGTCAGGCTGGAACAGGAAGGGGCCTTCCTCAAACTGTTGCCACGAAGTTAAAGCATAAAATGCCTTTGTGTGCTGCAGCATTAATACTGCCTTTACTGGAACTAAGGGGCCCCAACCCTGAAAAACAGTTCCAGCCCAAACTTTACTGTTGGCACTACGCATTCAGGTAGGCAGCGTTCTCCTGGCATCCGCAAAACCCAGACTGATCCTTCAGACTGCCAGATAGTAAAGCATGATTTTTCACTCCAGAGAATGTTTCCACTGCTCCAGAGTCCAGTGGTGGTGCTTTATACCACTCCAGCCAACAGTTGGTGTTACACAAACTTCAGGTGCACAATTTGTGTGCTAATGTAGCTTCCAGAGGCAGTTTGGAACACTGTAGTGAGTGATGCAACACAGGATAGGTGATTTTTACAAACTATGCGCTTCAGCACTCGCCAGCCCCGCTCTGAGAGTTTGCCTGATCTACCACTTCGTGACTGAGCTGTTGTTACTACTAGACATTTTCATTTCACAACACTAGCACTTACAGTTGACTGAGGCAGATTTGGCAGGGTAGAAATTTCACAAACTGACTTGTGGCAAAAGCGTTACTGCCTTACGACAGCGCCACATTTAGCCACTGAGCTCTTCAGTACAATCCATTTTACAGCTAATGATTGTCTATTGAGATTGCATGGCCATGTTCTTCAAACGCAGACTGAAGACACTTTATACAGCACTTAAATGAGCACTTTAAGTATTCATTGGAATGTATTGTACTGCACTGTGTTTAACTCTTTTCTCTAGGTATCAACATGGACTTTTTGTTTCTAGCAGTATCTGAGCTCAGGACTGGCTTTCTCTCTAACCTATTGGTAACTAGCAAAGATACTTTCTCTGGATAGACAAATCACTTTTTGTAAGTCGCTCAGGATAAGAGCGTCTGCTAAATGCTGTAAATGGAAATGGAAATGTAAAACACCTGAACTATTTAATAATTAGGAGGGGTGTCCACATAATTTTGGCCATTTAATGTAAATAACAGCAAAATAACAAAAAGTAATAAACTTATTCTAAATAGAAGTTCAAAATGGTTCCGAACAAAAGCAACCAAGCACATGAACAATCACATGAAGTGCTTTCTTGTAGGCTATGCAAGCGGTGGAGCCATCAGGCTGCCAGACATAGTTATGGAAAGCGCTCTTCATAAAGGCAAATACAAAACAAGGAAACCAACTAAAGGTGAGTTTGATGTGTGGCAGTCATTTTCAGGTAACAGGAGTTATACCGGTCCGTGGGTGGGCGCAGGACAAAACGTTTAAGTTGCGGGCAGGCATGGGACAAACGGTGCAGATTTTCTTCGGGAGCGGGAGGAATTCTTGCAGGATTGGGACTAAAAAAATCCCTTTACCCCAGATTTATCCAGTCCCTCAGAGCAGAACCACTGATTTAAGTTTCCTAGACGTTGTTAGCTGGGGAGGACAACTTAATAAAGCCAAATGGAAAAAAGATATACAATAAACAGCAAATAAATTGCAAATTGAAGAACTGCGAATGAAGAATGAGAAAAAAATCAGTTGGAAAAAAATGAAGTAAGTCAATTCAGTGTCGTACATTACTGCAGCAACGTTAAGTGACCCTTATTAGTCCCACAACAGGGAAATTTCACCCCCGGATTTAACCCATTTACCAATCGCAACTTAATGGCATTTCATACAATTCTAAAGCAGTGGTGGCAATAATATATAAAGCAGAAACACTGAATACTAAAAATAATCTTGCACACACTGTAACATAATTGTACATAAACTCAGTGGTCACTTTATTAGGTATACCTTGTATCTACACTCATTTTATCGGATGCACATTGTAAGTCTGCAATCTGTTTCTCTGCATAATTTGTTATCCCACCTGTGCTTCAATGGTCAGGACCATCACAGAGCAGCTATAATTTGGGTGGTGGATCATCCTCAGCACTGCAGAGACACTGATGATTAATGTGTGCTGCGCTGGCACGAGTGGATCAGACACAGTAGCGCTGCTGGAGTCATCAAATCATGCAGAGAAACCGATGGACTACAGTCTATAATTGAAGAACTACAAAGTGCAACTATATGGTAAGGGGAGCTGATAAAAGAGGCAATAAATGTGGAATCTAATAAAGCGCTCAGTACGTGTACAATAACAGAAATTGCTACTATGATAAGGGACTCCAAAGAGGTGAAGGATTGATTATATTCAGTTATATACATTCACATACAACTATATCTTCTGTCAGTTTCAGTACATACTTGTCACAGGCGTAGCAGGCCGTGCACTCGTTGCCCTTGTCGCAGTAGTGACCATCCTTGCAGCGGCAAACTGTGTTGGCGTAGGGTGTGCATCTTATATAAACCTCCCTGTTAGCTATGACACAAAAAAGGAGTCGGTTAGATAATTTATCAACAGATACAGATTCACAATGCATCATTTGAATTACCTGCCAACTGAAAAGATCACCTACGTGAATTAGCACAGATTATATGAGGTAAAATTATTTCATAACAGAACAAAATGAGGAATGCATGTTTTTGCCCATGAATGCTATGCTATGTCAATGCTATGGTGTTTTCCACACATTTCATGTCATATATGTGTCCACTCACCAAGATACATTCCTAGTATGTGTAACATACTGCATCGCCAGAGGCTTTAACTGGGGCAGCCCATTATAATCACAACCGACAGGGGTCAAAACAAAGGCAGGTAACATCAGAGGCATATCCACAGCCAAAAACCAGAAAGACAAGGCGAGATCAAAACATGGCCACCAACCTCAGATTTGACACACAGAGACTTTCCTGGACCGTTAAGAAGCACGGCCAAAACAGGCAGAAGGGTAAGAGGGGAGGGCAGTCCGTCAACCAGGTCAACAAACAAGACAGTGACAGGGCCAGGGCCAACAATGTGGGCTGGCTGCTAATCCTGATCCAGTGCCAGCTTCATGAGCTGCTGCTCCTCTAGTATTGGTTCCCTGTGCAGCCGGCTTCCCAGCGTCCCTTTCAGTTGGCCCGCTGCTCCCTCCAGACCCGCTGAACCTCGGGCCTGCCAACGAGTCTCTGGACCCTCTCGCTGCCACCACGAAGCCTCTGGACCCTCTGGCTGCCACCACCAGGCCTCTGGATCTGTCAGCTTCTGGACTTGTCAGCCACTGCCGAGCCTCTGGACCTGTCGGCTAGTGAGCCTCCAGATCTTTTGGTCCATTCAGCTGCCTCGCAGAAGCCTGCAGCAGCCCAAGATGTGACTGCTGTACCCCATCTTCCCAGGACATGGCGGCTGCTTGTGCTGACATTCGCGCATCTGCCTGGCTGCCCTTGCAATTCTCTGCCCAACTGCCCTTGCGGTTTCCTGCCCTACCACCTTCCAGTTCCCTGGCCAGCCTGAAACTCCACTTTCTTTTTTTTTTACCCTGTATCTGTTCCATCTCCAGCCCCAGTTACCATTCCTGTATGTTACAGTGCCTGTGCCCATACTATTTATGTTTATGTCCCCATTTCTGAGCTTGTATCTGTCCCTGTTCCTGTCACTGTCCCAGTCCCAGTCCCAGTCTCTATTGCTGTCATAGGGTTCTGTCTCAATATCTTTATTTATCCAGTCCCTTGTCCAGTCCCTCACCCAGTCCAGTGTCCTGTCTCCTTTCCAGTCACGTGTTCCATCTCCAGTCCAATCCTGTGTCCAGCCCCATGTCCAGTTCCGAGTTTTGGGTCACGTCCCTATAAGTGTTCCTGGCCCCTCCTCCTGCCTGGCTCCCGCCGTACAAGGCCTTTTGTGTTCGTGCATCAGGAACTGCACATTAGGAGGGGTGTTCTGTCACAGATCCCTTAGTGTTCCTCTGGCTGTGCCTTTCCTGTGGTGCTCCCACCTGTGTGTAGTTCCTGTCTCCTCCTTCTCCCATTGTGTCTAGTGTTTATCTATGTTTCAGTCTTTCCTTGTCTAGCGTCGCGTCTACCCTGTGTTTGGTTTGCTCTATGTGTTTCTTGTTTAAGAGGTATATAGTATGTTCTTTTTGTATTGTTCTTAGTGTTTGTTTTTGTTTATTGTTGTCAATAAAACACTCTACATCCAGCTTCATCACTCTTCAAATGTTTTTTTTTTTCTAAATGTCTGCATAATGCCGTCACTGAGATGTACATAAAGTCATCCATTGTGGTTTGAAGCGTAATGATGTATTGTGGAAAATCTCACTGATTCAAATCTCAACTCAAATGTAGCCATTTTATTTGCTCACCAAAACCACCAGTGAACCAACACCTGTTTACTCATATCTGAAAGATTGATGCCTCAGACTACAATACACGTTTCCACAGTGCATCCATAAGTTTCAGATGAACTTGAGCCCAGAGAAGTCGGCGGCGTTTCTGAACTTTTCTGAGGTGAGTTCCACTGTGCATAGTACAATCTTAACTTGCATTTGTTGATGCAGCGACCAACAGTGTCCACGCAGTGATATCCATCACAGAAACATGCCCCTTTTTAATGCAGTGAAGGATCGAAGGTCGCCGGCATTCATTAGTGGTCTTCTGCCTTGTCCTTTACACATGGAGATTTCTCCAGTTTCTCTAAATGTTTTTTTGTTATTTTGCACTGTAGATGGCAAAATATCTAACACTCCTGCAATCCCTGGCTGAAGAACATTGTTTTGAAACAGTTGGATTTTTTGCTGATATATTGATGGCAAAATGGCCCTCAATCCATCTTTATTCATAAAGAACAAGGTCTTTTGTGGACGCACCTTTTATATCCAAGCATGATTGCATCACCTGTTTAAGATTTTTTGAACATTTCTCAATGTTTCTACTCTTTAATAGCTCCTGTCACAACTTTTTTGCAAGCATTAATTTCAGAATGAATGTACATTTACGAAACCAACAACGCCGAGTGAAGATAAAACATTAAATATGTTGTCTTTGTACTGTTTTGTGGTCAAATATGGGTCAAAGTAAATTTATCTATTTGCATTTTACCTACTGTTCCAACTTTTCCAGAATTGGGTTTGTACAAGTCAAGAACATTTTTTCCTTCTGTAAAGTTACTAATTTGCAGATTTTTTGTTTTGTTTCTTGGTTTGTTTTTAGTGAAAATATCCTCTACAGAGAACATGCTTTTGTGCATTTGGTTGCTGAATTTAACATACTGGAGGGGAAAGACTAAATGAAACAAAGTGTTTTATTAATTTTACAAATTTTATGTTTTTTTCCCCAATATATTAACTTAGCTAATAGTAGCTAATCAGAAATCAATAAAATTTGGCAAATAATTTCATATTTTATGTGTTCTCTGTAAAGCATGTGTTTCACACAATCAACAATCCTTTGCATATGACTGTTGATGAATGAGGGCTCACTACAGAGCAAGCAACATGTCATATTTCCATTTTTACTTACATTATAATTGCATCTTAATAATGCTTAATTTATGACCTAATTAATAACCATTAACAAACTCATTTTAAACCATTCATAAGCCCTCTGTAAGGGTGGATTCATTGTAAGGTGGTATTGATCATTTTAAATAGAAGAAAAAGAAAGACAGAAATGAAGGAAGGTTGGGAACCCACCCGAATCCTCACAGGGCGAACAGAGTTCACACCTTTCCTCGCCATTTGGGTCATCCATAAAAGTTACGCCATCCTCGCACAGCTCACACTCTGGATCACCTCCTGCCTGAGTGCAGTGATTCTGAACATAATAACCTGAACACACACACACACACACACACACACACACACACACACACACACACACACACACACACTTAGGATTTCTATCTATTCATTATCACACATGCTGTACATGCTGTTCTCTCCTGCACCTCACCTGGGGGACAGAGACAGCACTCTAATCCTGTCTTTTCATCTGTGTACGTCCCATATTCACATGACTGGCGTCTCTTGCGCAGCACGTCTTTGAGCTTCAAACCTTCAGTTAAACAGAAGATGTTCAGCTGTAGAAGAAAAAGAGGAAACAGAATAAATCAAGAGCTTTTTGTCAGAGGGCTAATATAAATATTAGGGGTTGGATGGCACAAAGTTCCAGGTCATTGTCTTTAAGTTTCTTTCATAACACAGACTCACCTGAGACAAAGACTCAAACTACTTCTACTGACAGGTGAGCTGCGTTTGCTTAATACTGAACGGAAAAAATGATCATGGAGGATCTTCACTACTCTTTAGAAGCAGAAATGACGGAGAACCGGCAGCGAGGAACATCAGGCTCCTGGAAAGCCCCCATGAAGGACGAAGGACTTCAGAGTGACGCTCAAAGTTTATCAAGCTTATTTTCTGCTGGGAAGCTAGTCAAATAATTTGTTCTTAGGTTTTCTGACCAAAAAGTTAGGCTGTTTATTTTTCTGTAAATACACATCAAATTAGAAATCGTATTTTTGGCATTAGCATATACGCTAATAGCATTCCCGCTACATAGTGACAAAAAGTAAACGCTCTGATCAATCTCAAAATGGAAAAATAGAAATCATCCATACGACTCTTAGCAAAGTCCTTATAGAAAAGTCTGCTGCCTCTGTGGTCATCTTTGTAACGCCGCCGGGCAGTTATTTCCAGTCACACACAGCAGCAGTGCTGCTGGAGTTTTTAAACACCTCAGTGTCACTGCTGGACTGAGAATAGTCCACCAACCACTCACTAGTCCACTCACTGTCCACTCTATTAGACACTCCTACCTTGTCAGTTGACCTTGTAGATGTAAAGTCAGAGACAATACAGATGGACTACAGTCTGTAACTGTAGAACTACAAAGTGCACCTATATAGTAAGTGGAGCTGATAAAATGGACAATGACCGTAGAAACAAGGAGGTGGTCAGAATGTTATGCCTGATTGATGTATATACATATATATATAACCATTTTTCTGCAATTAACAACCCAGTCCAGACTTTTTATCTTACACTGTTTCACTGCCTTTTTCAAGATACACTGTATAAAACAATTATGTTAAAAAAAGAGAGATTAATCTATTATTTCACTGTAAGACATAGTAAAAACCAAGAAGTCTATATATATATTATAGGGGTGATGATAATATAGCAAAAACTAAAAATCATGAGCATTTCAAAATATATGTTATATCACAATGTTTAGGTTGTCTGAGGTCTGCTAATAGAGTGGAACAGACAAAATGCAACAGTAAAACAGCCACGTCTAAATTAATGCTATGAAAACTAGGAGTAAGATAGATTTTTTTTTCCAAAAAATAAATGAAAAATTCCATTTGACAAAATGAAATGAACAAAGCTACTTGTTACTATGCAGCTGTTGTTGTTTACAGGCTCTCTATAACTGGTCCAAATCTGTGTTTTTTATGACACATGCAGTTGTTGGAAAGCTAATGTGTATTGTCAGAAGCCTCCAGTGCATTGAAGAAAAAGTCTTTAGAGTTACTCAGTGCTACAAGGAAATCTGCATTAATGAAGTTAATGAAGCCAAGCTTCCTGCTAAAACACCTGATTGTTTGGGTTGTACTGTTTTGCTCTGTCTTCTTCTCGCAGAGGGGAATTCCACCAAAATATCTGCATAAGTCAACTGTTGGGATGCAAACAAAGTCATTGAGAGTGGTTTGATGTGAAATGGTCTGTTCTAGAGACACTTACTGACTCTGATGCATTTACAGTGGTGGTGACAGGAACCAGGCGTTGTCATGTGTTCAGTATAAATATCATTACTTTATTTATTACTCAGAACCACCAGTGAACCAACATGCTTCTATGGGTAAAGATGATGATGGTACAACAATGGAAAATCTGAAAATCGGAAAAGAAAAGCTTCCTCTGGGACTACTTTGCCTCACAACACCCTGCACATACCTCTCCGCCATGAACGTGTTTTAAAATAACGTTTAAAAATCTCAAAACTATCATAAAAGAATGTCTCAGGCATCAGGCAATGCATTCGTGACCATTTCTCTGATTGAGCTTCAGACGTCTGGTTCCTATCACCACCACTGTGAACAATTCTGACTCTGTAAGCTTCTCTTTAACTTCAACCCGTTTAATTACGCAAACATTTTAAAAGGTTTGTAGAATCCACTATCAATTTTACACCAAAGGGAACCTTACACAGTGCACAAACGTAATCATACAGAAAGAAAGAACAAATTTACTCGTCTTTTTTTTGTTTATTTTGAACAGCTCCTTCAATAGACGGGTTTACTGTTTACAAACATCACGTGGACATCGCTTCGTAAGTTAGTCGGTCACAAGATTATAACGTTAGTCAACTATTGTAATCAACAAAGAGTTTGCATTGTTTGTAAATTGTTATTGACTTAATAGCAAAATGCAATTCTAAGTTCTCTCTCTCTTATCTGACCACCAGTGGGCCGTAAAGCACCCTCTAGTGGTCTAGCGGGCCTTTGGTCATCGTAGATCATCACAGCTGTGATGTTATTGGCGATAACACACTCCTCGAGTGTTCTATTGCTTTATACAACAGTTAAATAAATACAGTAATAAATTAATAAACTGGGCCGTGAACGCGGCGTTTAATATGTTTTAATGTTCGCAGTTCCTTCACCAAATTATAGTTCCTTAACGAGCAGCTTGTTGCTACGTCAGAGTAACGAGCTCCGCCCACTCGCTGCACAGCCGGCAGTTCGTTCTCCAGCTCCACACAGACCAACTGACTGTTTGGGAATTTAGTGTCGTCTCATCTTCAGAGTCTGACCAAATCGGCTGTCGGTCAAATGTGATCTTAAAAGTGTCCATTTTCTGTTTTTGCGCAAAGTAAGAAGTGAAAACGTTCAGATGGCTTGAGCGTCTCCTACAGCTGTCAAAGTTGTTGCTTAGCAACAGCGTCTCAGTGGAGTGATAGTGTTTGTGAAAAACCCGTGATGTTATGGTGAAATAACAGCACGGTTAGAACGCTTCTCAACCAATCAGCTTGCGTGGCCGATACAAATATTAGTACAGATGGACAAATAAAAACGTTGCAGTTGTGGGCTAATTAAACGTCATCAGTCTGAGATGCAGTGTAGCGATGCAGACTGGATTTGAGGACTTATTGCACCTTTTTCTGTATTATACACAGTTTTGACATGTGTAAACACCCCACCCGTATTTGGGTCTGTAACAAACAGCTGAACCGATCCGGCACAAAAAACCTGGGTCAGTTCACTGCTGATGGAAACATGCTCTGTGATCAAACGAGGGAGTTCATCAACAGAGCTGGCTTTCCTTCTCTTCTAGCAGCACGTTGGTGCCGTACAATCAACATAGCAACTGTTTTAACAACTGACTCTTGACACTCAGCACAACAGACACAGAATAATAGTGAAAAAAGTCGGTGTGAGGGATGGACGGGGTCGTCCACAATGCTGGTGGCTTTGCGAATGTGGTGTAGATGTCCATGATGGAGGGGAGAGAGACCCCAATGATCTTCTCAGCTGTCCTCGCTATTCGCTGTAGGGTCTTGCGGTCGGAGGCGGTGCAATTCCCACACCAAAAGCCTGGTGAATGGAGTGAGCTTTGGCTATTTCGAATGAATCACAAAAAACCTTTAAAACTAAAGAGAAATCTCGAGACCAAACAGTTACTCCTTTGGGAAAGCCAGTGTATTTCCAGTGAAAACGCGACGGACCGGAGCTCCAAATCACAGCCCACATCTATCTCGTACGTTTCACCCTATCAGTCTATACATTGTGAAGACCCTCCAAATGACACGATGAAAATCACTAAAAATTAATAATGCGACAAAAATCCACTGTAATATACAAATAATAACTATTATGCAAGGTGTGCTTCCACTAGTTTTATGTGTCAGTCAGTGTTGGGCCTCGATCATTGGGGTCGCACAGCAGAGGGGAATTAGCGGCCCACCAGGGATCTGACCACAGGTATATGGCATAAATGCTGTTAAAATGTCAGAGAAAAAAATTAAACCTATAGTAGGGAGTTGCATCCTAGTGTAGTTACTATGTATGTATTTGGCTCTTAATGGGGGCTGGCGAAGTTGCACTGAAAGCCTGTTTGCTGAACAGCTTTGAAGATGATCAGCACCTGTTTGGCAAATGGAGGTCAAATGGAGTCCATAAAAGAGTGCAGCTCTTACGAATGTTTAGGAAAAGTGTAATTTTGTACATGAGGAGCTTTGATACAGCGCTCAGTGGAAACTCATTAGGCTGTTAAATTAGACAGAGAAAGTGGTTATACTGAAAAAGTAAAATGTTCCAGTGAAACGTAACTGAGTGTATTTTAGTCAGCAGACCTGCCGCTTAGGCTATTACTGTCTTTATGTTTCAAAACTTTAAAAAAAGAGTTTTTTCGGTTTTAGTGTTATCCTCTTTCGGTTCCCCCTCTGGTCCCTCTGGGAAAATGTACTTCTCAGAGGTTGTGGAACAACAGGTAGCAGATTAATGCTGGGCGTGTCTGGCCTTTTTTTTAATAAATTATTTTAAATGAAATTGAAAATATATTTACAATTATATATCTGTCATAACATGTCTGATAGTAGTCATAACAGTAGTTTTATAACTTCTGCATTCTTTTTCTTCACTGCAGAAGTATCACACTGTGGCGTCGGCATAGAGCACGTGTCAGGCTCCAGTCCTTGCAGGCCAAAACCTTGCATGACTCAGCAACTGACTCATTAAACACACTTCAACCTCAGAAATGAGTGCTGTGTCGGCGCTGCACTGTCCTGTCTGTTTACTGTGTCTAATGCCTGTTTTATTTACTGTGTTTATTGTATTGTTTCTAGTTTATCTATAGTTTGTCTATTTTGTTCCATGTTGCACCTTGTTGTTCCTTGGAGGAATGTAGTCTCACACCACTGTGTACTTGTACCTAGATGGAATGATAATAAAAGCCTCTTGACTTGACCTGAATTGACCTGACTTGACCTGACTTGATTCAGCGCATCACCTAACTAGTAAGGCCTTAATGAACTGAATTCAGAGCGTTAGATGAGGGTAAATGCTAATCTCTGCAGCACTTTGGCCTGGAAGGTCCCCAGTTTGACATGCCTGGCATAGAGTAAGACACAGTGGAAACCATGATTCCACCAAATTTGTTAAACACCAGGCAGAAAGAGACACCACGGCATCCTCACAGCAGACCGACCCCAACAAAAACACAACACAAATAACATATATACACAACTTAGACTGAAGCAACAACAACATAAACAACAACAAACAGTCCTTTTTAGAACTGACCATGTCCGTTTTGGCTATATATATATGTGTATTATTTGTGTTGTGTTTTTGTTATATATATATATATATATATATATATATATATATATATATATATATAAAAATGTATATACACACACACACACACACACACATATATATATATATATATATAAAAATATATATATATATATATATATATAACAAAAACACAACACAAATAACATATATATACAACTTAGACTGAAGCAACAACAACATAAACAACAAACAGTCCTTTTTGGACCAAACAGTCCTTCCTGTCCGTTTTGGCTATATATATATATACATATATATATATATATATATATATAACAACAGCTATATATGTATATATACATATGTATAATGTATACACACACACACACACATACATATATATATATGATATAGATATAGATTTATGATATAGAAGATTTTTGCTGAGAAACTGTAACTGACTGACTTCTTTACATTGGTGGTGATAGAAACCAGGCCTCACAATGCCTACAGCACAATATAGCCAATTTATTTAATATCTAAATTACCAGTAAATCTACTCGTGTCTTCTTAGTTTTATATATATTGCACAAATTTTAGGCCAAAATCGCCTCAAAACTATCGCAAAACAATGTGTTAAATACCATTTCATGTAATCTCTTTCTGTAAGGGACCTTTTAAAGGCACTAGAATCCTCAGACGTCTGGTTCCTATCACCACCACTGTAAACAATTCTGAGTCGGCAAGTTTTTCTCTACCGTTGCTAAGAATTTCACATTAAAAACTCGTTGCGTTTGTTGGGAAACGCTGGGTGTGCTTTAAATCGAAGGTCTAAGCTCTGAGTACACAAAATCATGATTAATATTTTCAGAAGAGCTGAACCGAAAACCTCCTTAACCCCAATTCAGCCGTCTTTCTGCTGTGACGTTAGCATAGCAACAGCCTAACAACAAACAAAACGAGCAACAGACCGAATTTCGACGTCCTTCAGGCCTTGAAAGAGCCACAACCTTATAGAAAAGCACTTTACAGGACTGTACGAGGCTGAAGTTGGCTTCTCATTCACCGGCTGCTTCCCTGAATTTTCCGTTCCACCTTAAGTGGTGTGGAGAATGTAGCTGCCGTGCCCCACTTAAGGTGGAACGGAAGATTCGAAGTAGAAGCCAGCTGCGGCTGGATGTGGCGCTGCTCGTCCCCTTTACACGAGTCTAAATCTCGGTTTCATCATCTCTACTTACCGAAAACCAGAGCAGAGCGAAGAGACACCTCATCGTGTGACTGGCGGACTGGGGTCTTGTGGACTTTCCAGCTCAGTTTTGAACAGGAAGGTCAGAACAAGTTTCTCCGGTGAGACCAGAAGGCGTCCATTCCCGAGTGTGTATTCCAGTATCGTCGACCAGCTCCAAAATAGGAGGGACCCAGATATTAATTTTGATATGTCCAAACCTGTGTTTACTGCCGCATGCCGGCCACCTTTGAACCACCACTCACAAATACTAGTGCAAATAAGTTCCTGGCCACATTATAGAAACTTCTGACACTGAAACCACATCTGTTTAGTCATCATGACAACTTCAGTTAGGCCTAAAGTTATTACAGAAGCTATTACAGATCACCAGTTCTAAAATTCATAATCCTATCCTGACGCCTGATGAGAAAACAGTATTACAGAAACATCCTAACCAGACTAAACTTCCTAAATACTGCCCTAACTTTAAGACAACCCCAGCTGTGTCCTAACATCTGCTTAAACCGTCTGTTTTATTGTTTATGTGGTGACACACAGCACAGTTCACTGTAAGAGGCACAATGACGTTACATTTATTTACACTGAAAACTGTACTTTGTACATGTAGCTACAGCGTTTGGGGGAACTGAAACTGAAGCCGGGGAGCGGCGACGCTCTGATAAAGGCACAGAATGCTGTCACAATATTCTTAACTTCAACTTAAACTTATATATATACATACATACATACATATATATATATATATATATATATATATATATATATATATATATATACACACACACACACACACCGATCAGGCATAACATTATGACCACCTCCTTGTTTCTACACTCATTGTCTATTTTATCAGCTCCACTTACTATATAGGTGCACTTTGTAGTTCTACAGTTACAGACTGTAGTCCATCTGTTTCTCTGCATACTTTGTTAGCCCCCTTTTACCCTGTTCTTCAGTTTTCAGGACCCCCATGGACCCTCACAGAGCAGGTACTATTTGGGTGGTGGGTCATTCTTAGCACTCCAGTAACACTGACGTGGTGGCGGTGTGTTAGTGTGTGTTGTGCTGGTACGAGTAGATCAGACACAGCAGTGCTGCTGGAGTTTTTAAACACCTCAGTGTCACTGCTGGACTGAGAATAGTCCACCAACCACTCACTCGTCCACTCACTGTCCACTCTATTAGACACTCCTATCTTGTCAGTCCACCTTGTAGATGTAAAGTCAGAGACGATAGCTCATCTGCTGCCGCACAGTTTGTGTTGGTCATCCTCTAGTCCTTCATCAGTGGTTACAGGACGCTGTTGGTGGTTGGTGGACTATTCTCAGTCCAGCAGTGACACTGAGGTGCTTAAAAACTCCAGCAGCACTGCTGTGTCTGATCCACTCAGACCAGCACAACACACACTAACACACCACCACCATGTCAGTGTGGACAATGATGCAGTGCTGAGAATGATCCACCACCCAAATAGTACCTGCTCTGTGAGGGTCCATGGGGGTCCTGACCACTGAAGGACAGGGTAAAAGAGGGCTAACAAAGTATCAGAGAAACAGATGGACTACAGTCTGTAACTGTAGAACTACAAAGTGCACCTATATAGTAAGTGGAGCTGATAAAATGGACAATGAGCGTAGAAACAAGGATGTTATGGCTGATCGGTGTATATGGCCGCGATCTGAATTTAAACTATGCGCCCCCACAATCCTGATAATCCCTGTTTAAAACATAAATAGTTGTCATGTAGCTCATGTCAGCACCGGCAGTCTTTGCCAGAAGTGGCCCAGATCTGTTTTGCGACCTGTGGGCCGTATGAGCGTTTTTAATATGTGGGCCACTTTTGGCTCACATGCAGTTTGGTAGTGCTGACTATGGCCCAGCAGTGCCATATCTTTGCCAGACATGGCCCACATCTGCATGCTATCTGGGGACTGGGGACTAAATGGGTCAGTCTTTACTCCAAATGGGTTTGTATTCAGTTAAATGCTCAATTAGTGGTCTGCAAACCAATAGAAGTTGGTTGCACTTTCTGCTTCTCACAATACAGTTAATCCCAAATGCATTCTTGCTGAGGTCTGGACTCTTGGGTGGACAATCCATCAGCAGCTCCTTTGTTTAATTTTAAATTCATTTATTTTTTGTCTGTTTTCTTTTCTCAGTGAGGTTCTTCTTAACAGCTACACACCCTTTCAGACCCACAGCGCTGAGTCGTCTTCTCACAGTGGAAGGATGGACAGAAACACCTGTGGATGTTTTCAGATCTGAAGCAGCTTGATTTTCTCCTCTCTCTCAGAGATGAAAGCTTTAAGTGCTGTTTAACTGATGGGGGCAGTTTTGGTGTCTACCAGGTCTTGCACGGTTGACCACAGGATTAAGGATTTGCTATGGCCACCCCAGTCCCCTGACCTAAACACCATGAAAACCTGAGGGATGAACTGAAGAGGGGAGACCGTTAGAGAAGCGTTAGAGAAGCGTTAGAGAAGATTCAGAGCTGCACAAAGAATTAAATGTAGGGGTGCCAATAATTGTGGCAAACACAGAACAGATCTGAGAAAAATATTTAAAGGTTTCAAAGGGCAGGTGTGCTAATATTTGTGGAGGGCATTATAAACATTATATATATATATATATATATATATATACACACCGATCAGGCATAACATTCTCAGCACTGCAGTAACACTGACGTGGTGGTGGTGTGTTAGTGTGTGTTGCGCTGGTCTGAGTGGATCAGACACAGCAGTGCTGCTGGAGTTTTTAAACACCTCAGTGTCACTGCTGGACAGAGAATAGTCCACCAACCAAAAATATCCAGCCAACAGCGTCCTGTGACCACTGATGAAGGACTACAGGATGACCGACACAAACTGTGCAGCAGCAGATGAGCTATCGTCTCTGACTGTACGTCTACAAGGTGGACTGACAAGGTAGGAGTGTCTAATAGAGTGGACAGTGAGTGGACACATGTATTACCCATATAAAGATAGGGGTAGATGTGGCCATGAAGGTACACACACTCTTATGTGTTAAAGGTCTTTTTTAATGTAACACTGAAGTATCAGTGGTTACGTATTCAGCTGCGGTGATGCAGTACTCACCACTACACAAAGAGACAATGCAGGCGTGCAGCCACACACACACTTTGCCGCTCACTCATCTGACCCAGTTTTCTGCTGTTTTCTGATTGGCCGCTGTCCTGCTGCGCATTTTGAACCCTCTCTTTTTTGCATTTCTGTTCTGTCACTGGCAGATGGCACCAGAGGACATTATATCTGCCTGTACACCCTCACATAGACTCACACACACACACTCTCACACCTACACATCAGTGCTTGCACACACCAAGCGAGTATGATTTTAAATCACTCGGCTTATTTAGAAAACATTTCAGAGAGTCTTAAAAGCACCGTATTCACATCCATCGATTCAGCATCACTGGAAAGTGTCAAAAGCCTCGTTTCCACTGCAGGACCGGACCCGGTTTCCAGTGACGCGGTTAGCTAACGGTGTTCAGGGCCACAGACCCGTTTGGTGGGATGCCATAATGGCATAGCTATTTCCTGATTGGTTCTACATTATGTTGGTATTGTGCCACCGCATCCTGCTTATTTGATTGTTTTCAGATTTGAAATCTGAAAGAAATCCAATAGAAGTTGAGTTCGTTCACATGGACACCAGATAAAGAAAGCAGTGCACCAGTTTAAAGACACCATTAAAGCATGTCAAAGCTTCAATCTAATAACAATTTCTAATTATTAAACAGCGCTGCTAACCAGGAGAGAGTAGCTGGTTAGCATTAGCTCAGCTCTGCGCACCACAGAACAGGTTCGATTCTGACTAACAGAAGCTTTACTGACGCAAGTTTAAGTGATAATGACTCAAATCTGAGGAAGCAAAGTGGAGTGGCTGGTGTTGGAGGGACGGAAAGCTGAAATTAAACTTGTAGCCTCTTAGCTAGTGTGATCCGAACATCCACTTTCAGGTTCGATTCGACTAACTGGTGCTCCGCTATCATAAGTATAGATGATAAAAACGTCTGTCAGCGAAAGAAAAGTCGACTGATTGGTGTTGGGGCGACAGAAAGCTGAAGCCTACCCTGCTGAGCTAAGCTAAGGCGAGCAGTAACTGAGTCCGCAGGCTCGGTTTCAGTGCCTAAAACACTTGTTTAAAGGACAAGGTTTGGTGATCAGACTGTTTTCCGGCGACAGCTCCCGTTTTTGGTGGCCTGTCCCTGGAAATGTCCTTGTTTTTAAATGTGAATTAAAAACACAGCAGAAAGTCCTAAGAAAGACCTGGCAACAGAGCAGACAGGCAGACGTCTCGCATCATGCTTGTTTTAGCCAACCACCTCTACCACCTGCGCGGCTAGTTTTAGGGAATACTGCTGTGTAAAACTCGACCGTCCCAGATAGCGAGCATATATTGGTCCACTGGCTTGATAAGGTCGGCACCCCGCTAACTGTACGCCACTGCTGGTCCACCCTCGGACCGCCCAGATGACTGTCCTGCATACGAGCTCTAACTAGTCTTTAGTCTCCCCAAACAGATTTTAAAAGCACAGAGACTTTTATTTTAGAGAATAAACTTAGACAAATATTACAAACAACTGAGAGAGAAAAAATAATGACTAGGCCTGATATAAAATGATTTTATAGTAATTGTTGTTGTTGACACTGAGTTGGATTAAAATGACTTACTAAACTACTAATTTACAAAGTATAACTAAAGAAAAGAAGGAAGGAAAAAAGGTAAATTGGACTGTAAGTGAAAAATGAGTGATGATAAGTGGAATTTTGTCCATACTCTGATTAACCATGAGTGGACCGCCCAGAAAACGCTGAGCAAAACGCCATTGGACCACCAGCTTTGCCATCAGTGGGCCGACTGTGGTCCACTATCCTCTTGCTATCAGGGATAAGCTAGCAAACGTCAAGTGAGTCCACAACATCACCACAAACGTCTTTTCAAGACATGAGGTAACCCAGGGATTAAGAGCAGGGTTGGGGTTAAGGGACTTGAATGGTACTATGTGATCTGATTTACACAGGTATACAATCTACTTGAATGTAGACTGCAATCTACAGATAGTGCCTCATTTTTAACACGTCTGCTGGTCTGCTTTGTCGCTTTCTCAGTCATCCATATATGACGTGGCATATATTGATTGCAGCCGTCTCTGTCTCTCTAGAACTGGATCAACCCCAGGGCTGTGTTTAGGGTTTGGCTATTGGTCTATAGCCATGCGTGTCTTTATACTGCCAAAATATTTCATATGAATATGAATTATGGGCTCATACAACCACTGACCCTAACCCTGCCTCATCCCTGCCCAAGCCATTAGACTTAGTGACTTTGAGGCCCTGATTTTATTACTATAAAGCAACAAGCGACAAATCTCACGAGGGGGAAAGCAAGGAAAATATTTTTTTAGGACTATTGCAATTTATTCTCATGCATGCTGACCATTTTATTTATTGAATGTCCCACAGTTTATCATAGCTTCACTCACCATGGTAAGGTACTGTATGATTTTCTG